ATTCAGCTGCAGGAAATTTGTGGTCATCCAGGCCTTAATGTCCGTCAAACAAGCTGACAGGACATCAGTGGACTGGGAGTCGCAGCTGGAAGAGAAGTAGATTTGAGTGTCATCCTCCTAAATGTGGAAGTTGACCCGATGTCTGTGGATGACATCACCGAGAGGGAGCATGTAGATAAGGAACAGAAAGGGGCCAAGGATGGAGCCTTGGGGTACCCTATAGGTGACTGGGTGGGGCAGGAAGTTAACATTGTCACGTATTATCAATGTAAGCAGAGAAAAAATACTTCAATTAAGGAGGGATATGTCAATAATAATAATCCTTGCATTTGATACAGCGCTTTTCACGTCTTCTCGACGTCCCAAAGCGTTTCACGGAATATACTGTAAAGTGAATTGACTGTATATTTGTGGGCAAACGCAGCAGCCAATTGCGCACAGCAATGTCCCACAAACAGTGGTAGATTGAAAATGACCAATTTATTATTGTTTTTTGTTTTTGGAGGGATTATTATTAGGAGTGTGGAGTAAGGAAACTTGCCCAAGGTTTCACGCTGCCTGGAATTGAACTCAGGTCTCTTGCTTGCAAAGCGAATGCTCTAACCACTGAGCTACAGGACTCCACAATATGGAGTGAAGGCGCCTTTATATGCATCAGAGTTTCTTCTTCCTGCATCATGAGATTCTGTCAGATCCGATGAGTGTTGGGATAAGTCCACTTGTGATGGCTGAGTCCTGCTAGCTGACTATCCTTATTTGGGGTTCAAATTGTGGTCTGGTGTCACCAGGCATATTTGGAGTGAAGGGGGGTGGGGAGAGGGGGGTGCGGGAGAAATGGAATAGCGGTTGTATGCCTGAAGATAATCTCAGGCCTTCACTTTTGAGAGGAATGGAGCTAGGATATCACTTTCCAGTATTTTTAGCCGTGCCATATACAACATATTATATTTTATACCCACCTTTCTTAGGGCTCCTTTGACATTATTCAAAATGTGGTCTGGAGAGCTCAAGATAGAGGTTACAAACATGCAAATATTATTATTGTTCCAGAATGTCAAGCATATTTTTGATCATTTCACCAGCCATGATTATCAAGATTTCCAATTTTAGTGGCCAATTCCTGCTTTTCGTTGTGTAACCCGCGAGTAAAGATTTTGGAGATGTGGGCATGCTTTTCTATAAAGTGGCTCTCCAGAGAAGATCTTTTGTTGGTACCTTCCAGGCACAAGACATATTTTCGGAAGGTTTGATCAGTGGTTTCTGATGCATTAGCCAAGTAATAATAATATTGCATTTCGTATGTTGTGGGCCTGTGGGGAGATCCAAGTCATCAATAGGATATGGCTGAATACTTCTTGAGAATGGAGACAGATGGTCAGTTTTCCCTGCAATGGTCTCCCCTGGGGAGATGGTCATGGCACTCACTGGCTGTTGCAAGCAATTAGTCTGGGAAGTATTGGCGCTATCCTGTATTGCTGGGAGTTGATGTTGCAATTAATATTTGTTAATAGATAGAAAATGGTGCCAATTTAGAAATGAAAGGAACATTTAAAATTCACCTGGTGCCAAGTGACTTATTGGTGAACAATCAATTTGTTAAAAAGCATAGAATTCATCCATGTGATTGTTGGAGTTTGGGGATCAATAAAACTAACTTTCTTTTTGTGCCATAAACTTCTTTAAACAAACAATTATGGATTGAGTGATCAATATAATATATTTATTACCCCCAGTAAAGTGATCCACCAATCGACTAACAACCAGGTTCCTACTTGCTGCTAGGCAAACAGGCGTGTGGAGTAAGGAAACTTGCCTAATGCTGCCGCTGCCGATGCCCTGCCTGGAAATTGAACCCAGGTCTCTCACTTGTGAGGCAAGTGCTCTAACCACTAAGCCAGAGGATTCTATAGGTAAGTCATCCAAGAATCTAATTTTTCTCAATCTCATTCAATGTTCTGTTTCAGATCAAAGGCAGATTCAAGACAAACTACACAAGTCATAACATACGTTCTCTACATGATTCATCTTATCCTAGGATGACATAGCAAACCTGTATCCTGCTTTGTGGTCGTGTACATCAGTTGATAAGGTTTCAAATAAACCCTTTTCTGATCTGAGACCATCCATAATTCCTATACTTCTATCTGGGCTATTTTGTGTTTAAAATGTGGTAATGAGAACAAGATTGCAAATAATTTCATTCAAGGAAACATTATATTTTGCTTTGGTCAAGCGGATTATTTAATACATGTGAAAACACATCACTATGCTTAAGAGTATCCAAAGCAAACTACTTAAGAGTTCCAATGAAATTTGTCTAGAATGGTATGCGGATTCTCTCCTGAAGATGTGCACACTGCTCACCTAATCCCAGAAAACTATAGGCATGGGTTGGCAAGAGCCAACAACTTTGTGAGTTTTCACGTGCATTTTCTTTCAAATATAATTTTTCAGAAAAGTTATCCAGTCCTCGACTGTAAAGTCCTTCAAGTGAAGAGCGCTCTATAAGTCAAGTTGTTGTTGGTCCACCACATTACTATAGTCCCAGATGAAAGTCGATTTACCAAAGATGGTTATACTGTGTATTTGTAGTCGAATGGTGAATAGTACAGATTGAACTTTAGGAATAATAGGCCAAAAGACTTCATACTGTGTTATGCATGTCTATGGTTCTATGATAAGAAGAGGTATAGGACTTGAATGAAGCATTATAGGCTATCTACTTGTCGAGCCAAACACCAGCGCGAGTCACTACCTTGAGAAGGATAGAAAAGTTGGGTCCAAAATAAAGGCATATAAATCAACTGTCAAGCTAAAAATTATGGAAGCAAGCTCAAACATATATTATATATGGCAGTTATTTTAAAATACATTTCTAATTATATAAATCAATTAAGAAATCATGCAAAATCAATTGTAATATCTCAATTCACATCATATCCTTAATAATATTCATTTCTAAATGAAAACTCAATCCTGCAATCTTGTAAATTTTAAATACATGATCAGGAAAACTATTTTGCAATGCTGAATGTAAAGGGCAGTTAAGGGAACATATTCAGTTTAACTTGCTTTTGCTGTCTAGCTATTGCTTCCTCATGATACAATACAAAATAATCCCTGAAGAAAAAAACCCAATAATAAATCGGTCACTTCAATCCACGACTGTTTGTGGGACATTGCTGTGTGCAATTGGCTGCCGCGTTTTGCCCACAAATATACAGTCAATTCACTTTACAGTATATTCTGTGAAGCGCTTTGGGACATCTAGAAGATGTGAAAAGCACTATATCAAATACAAGGATTATTGTGTTATAAAATACAACACAAAATTACATTTGTATAGATCCTTTCACGTCGGGAGGACGTCCTAAGGCGCTGGGACAGTAATACTCAAAGCACTGTTTGTAAATTAGGTCATAAGTGAGGACTCTGATGTAGTACTGCTACCAATGTTACAACTTGATTTTCAGTCCCAATGGTCACAAGCGCAATAGATAAAATATTTATTTATATGCGCTGTATATGGTTCCCAGCTAATTGAATTCCCAGTGAATAGCAGCATAATAATCAGCAAACCAATCTCTGTTTTAGAGTTCTTTGTCAATCATTAGATATTATTCTATTTTATTTATAATAGCATAAATAAAATATCCTTATTCCCAAAGTGTAATGATGATGGTGAATTGTATAAAAGGGAGTTGATTATAGAGAGGTAATTAGAACAAGAAGCTAGTAAAATTAAAATAATTTAAGTGTTAAACAATAAAGTTTGAGAAAAGATACAGTCTCTTTAGAGACTTTAATACAAAAAATGGAAAGATAGCAATACATTTGTGAAAACATCTACAACAGGTATCTACGAAGTACAGATAAATCATAAGAAAGCAAAAAAAAGTTTTTAATTCTAGGATGAATCATGGCAGTAAAACAATCTAAATTAGTGTACAGAATTATACAAACAAGATAGTAAAATTTACAAATAGCCAAGAACAATGCTTTTAATCAAAAAAGTAATGATTTCTTGGGTTAAATTTCATGCAACAAACTTTTCATAGAGGATTTTCCAGTTATAATTATTTGCTGAAAACAGAACAAACATCTGGTAACCTGATATCACATCCCCTTCAGGGATAATGTTGCAATTAATTTTTGACAGCCAGGTTACAAAATGAACATTGTTCAATGTAAGCCTGTTGGTTTTCAATTATTGTTTAATTATAAAATTATAATTTGTTAAAAATTTTCTCAAAGAGCCTACTAACATTCATGAAAAGTAAAATACTAAATGAAGGCACTTAGAGTATAGGCAATTGCTTCAATCATCTAGCTCTTCAAAAGTATCTTTGGTCTCAAACCTATCATCAAAGTATTAGTTATCATTTACATTACATGAACTTAAATCATTCTGCAATTAAATTTGCGCAATGCTGCATGATATAAAAACAAATATTTCAACTGAGTTTAAACTAAAACTTCAGTACCACCTAAAATGTGCACTCTGACAATGAGATGATCAGGGAGATTAGAATGAGTTACTGTTGTTTGTCAAACAATGTAAAAACTGATTTGTGAAAAAGTGTTAATCATATTTAAAAATTATGTGTGGTCCTTGGATCTGTCTTGTGATAATTTCTCAATCACCAGTGCAGTGACATAATGTTTAATAAAACATTGCAGGAATTATTCTAGAAAGTGCAACGGGCCCAACAAAATATCCTCAAACACAGTTAAAATTAATTACATAAAAATAATTTGTATGATACACATTGAAGTTCACCTTTTCTAGTGTCCCAATCCAGAGTTTTTTGTATTCTCTACAGTACTATGAACAGTTAGATACTGCAGAAAACATATGTGAACTGATAAATTAGTGCATTATGTATGCTTTGCAAGTCCTTTTCCAGTTTTAAAAATATTACTTTCAATACAATCAACAACACATTTAAAAATTGTTATGAATTATCCAGTCAACAAATGGACACACCCAATTTAAATACCTGAAGCGGATCTGTGGTGTGAAGAGTTCTTCTGATCATCAGAGCAGGGGGTTGGTGGAGTATAGTTAGCTACATCCAGTTTACTGATACTGGATGATGGTGTTAGTGAGGGAGGTAACAATGTACTGTTGGGGCTACTGATATCACCTTCTGCCACTAGAGTCAGATCAGATACATTCTCATCTTCACAAGGCTGTATTATTTCAGACTGCCTATCTCCAGAATGTCCTTCCCACCTCTGGTCATTCACATGTAGAATTGGAGAGACTGGTGCATGAAAGGGGACATCATGTAACTGCTGAATATCTGGTTTTACAAGATGGGATGGCACTGAAACAGGCCAATGCCGGCTGTCTTGTTGATGCATTGGCTTGCCTTTTAGATTGTTGGGATTTTCATTAAAATTCAGCGTAGACGGATTAGTTGGGCTGGAGTCTATAAACTCTAATTTATCAGACTGTTGTGCTGAGATGAAAGCTTTGTTCACAGAAGTATCTGTTTGGCTTTTGTCCTCACGTTTCTTGCCATTCACTTTATTTGCTACAGGTGTGGAGGAGCTAGGCTCAGGCATGGGAACCTTGAGGCGTAGAAAATCTGGTAGAACGAGGTCTTCTTTCTTCAAAAGTCCACGTTGATCATCGACCCGATTGCGTTGAGCTTTTGTCAAAAGATTAAATAACTCTGCCAAAATGAAAATATCAATCCGGAAATTAATACATCAGAGAAAAGCAAATGTAAGTTCTTAAGAAAAAATAAAACAACTCTCCTACCATAATAGTAAATCAACTCTTCGTTGGGTTTTGTTATCTGTCAAACATGGAAAAACTTCAATACGGGACTCTAACATGACTATAATTGCCTAAGAAGGCGAAATTCAGCCATCATTTGCATTTCCGAATAATATCCAGTGAAAAATATTGAACAGTGTGTAAATACCCATTGATAAGGATCAGGCTCAGCGGTCATGTACCAACAGTCGAACAGCAATCTAACACTAACTATGTGGATAGGGCATTTTGGGTGAGGTGCTTGAAGATGGTCAGTGCCAGTGGAACTGGACTTCAGCATGAGTCAGTACTTTCAGGATGTGGAAGGAGAAAATTGGAGCAATCCAAAAAAAAAACAGGATAGAAAGATAGTCAGGCCAAAAACAATAGGGGGAAAGAAAGGAGACAATTAAGTTGAATGGAAAGAGAAGGAAACATTACAGGTTTTAATAGGGCATAAGTCATAGTGTAGCAAGAGAGTTTTGTAATATGGTTATTTCACTTTAAACATCTTTCACACAACCCTACGTATTTCTCCCACTAATTTTCTCTTTTTCCTCAACAGTTAGGGGAATAGATAGCATCCTCTGTAGCCAAGAACGAGAGTCCTAAGGGTGTGTTGCCTACCTGGTGCCAGGGTAAGTGATATCTCGAGGCAGCTGGAGAGGAATTTGGAAAGGGAGGGGGCAGATCCAGTTGTGGTTCATGTTGGGACAAACGACATAGGTAAGAACAGGGAGGAGGTGCTGCAGAGGGAGTTTCAGGAGTTAGGAGCTAAGTTAAAAGATAGGACCTCAAGGGTAATAATCTCTGGATTATTACCTGAGCCACATGCAAATTGGAGTAGGGGAAGACAGATTAGGAAAGTTAACACATGGCTAAAGAATTGTTGTGGGAAAGAAGGGTTCCATTTCATGGGACACTGGCACCAGTACTGGGACAGGAAGGAGATGTACCGATGGGATGGGCTCCACATGAATCAGAATGGGACCAGTGTCCTAGGGAAAGGGTAAATAGGGCTGTGGCAAAGGCTTTAAACTAGTAAAATCGGGGGAGAGATCAGAAAGAAATGTCATAAACCCAAATATAAAGGAAACACGAGATGAGAGTATAGGTGAGACAAAACTAAGGAATAAGGAGAACATAAATGGTCAGAGAATTAAAAATAAAGTGAGAGGAACAACTAATAAAAATGATTTGAACTGTCTTTACAGCAATGTACACAGCATCCGAAACAAAAAAGAACTGGGGGCAATAATTCGTAGTGAAGAACCAGATATAGTAGGGATTACTGAAACATGGCTACGGAAAGTACAGGACTGGAAATTAAACATTGCAGTGTATAACATATTTAGAAAGGATAGAGACAGGAGAAAGAGCTGTAGAGTAGCTGTACTTATTAGGGACAACATCATGGCAGTAGAAACAAGGGACATAGCCATTAGTAAGATAGAAACAGAATTTGTGTGGATAGACATAAAAGATGAGAAGGGATCAATCACACAAATACGGGTACTCTACAGACCACCTAATAGTGGAAGGGAGGTAGAGGAAAAAATATGCAAGCAAATTAGGGAAATGAGTAACAGACATACTGTAATAATCATTGGGGATTTCAACCACCCCCAAATAAATTGGCTTGAAGAGGTAGGTAAAGGGGATAAGGGAATGGAATTCCTTCAATGTGTACAGGACTCCTGTAGCTCAGTGGTTAGAGCATTCGCTTTGTAAGCGAGAGACCTGAGTTCAATTCCAGGCAGTTCAGGGCGAAACCTTGGGCAAGTTTCCTTTCTCCACACAGAGCCTAATAATAATCCCTCCAAAAAACAAAAACAATAATAAATTGGTCATTTTCAATCTACGACTGTTTGTGGGACATTGCTGTGCGCAATTGGTTGCCGCATTCGCCCACAAATATACAGTCAATTCACTTTACAGTATATTCTGTGAAGCGCTTTGGGACCTCCTCCCGACGTGAAAAGTGCTGTATCAAATGCAAGGATTATTATTATTATTATTATTACCCAGAGGCCCAACAAGGGAGGAATCACTGCTGGATGTAGTAATGGGAAATGAACCCAAGCAGATAAGAGAAGTAAGAGTAGGGGAACATCTAGGCAATAGCGATTATAACTTAATAAGGTTTAAGATAAAGATTGAGTATGACAAAGACCAGGGTAATAGATTGGAAAAAAAGCTGATTTTGAGGGGATGAAAATGGAACTTGGGAAAGTAAACTGGAAAACAATATTGGCAAACAAAGAGATAGAGCAGCAGTGGGAAACATTTAATATGGTGATCGATAAGATTCCAGGAGAAATATATTCCGCTAAAAAACAAGATAAAGCTAAACAATAGTGAAACGCCGTGGATGAATAAAGACATAAGAGCAAAGTTGAGACTGAGGAAAGAGGCGTTCACTGAGTACATAAACAACAAGGGAGATCATGACAAAAAAGAATACGAAGAGGTTAGTCAAAACAACAATTAGGAAGGCAAAGAGGAACTATGAAACTAAATTATCAAGGAATATAAAAGACATAGTAAAATATTCTACAGACATAAATAACAAAAGAAAAATCAAAATAAGAATAAGGCCACTAAGGGATGGACAAGATAAGTTCACAGACAGCGACAGCAAAATGGCAGAGATATTGAACAATTACTTTGCCTCAGTTTTTAACAGGAAGATGGATCAGGTGGATATGACAGTAAAAAAAATCAAAAATTATATAAATACATTTAAGATAAAAAGGGGGCGATAACCAATAAACTAACCAAACTCAGAGAGGATAAAACCCCTGGTCCGGATGGATTGCATCCGCGTTCATTAAAGGGATAGCAGAGACACTATTACATATATATAATTCATCAGAAAAGGGAGTAGTGCCAGAGGACTGGGGGATAGCTAATGTTATACCTATATTTAAAAAGGGAGATAGAACAAGCCCAAGGAACTATATATCTGTCAGCTTAAAAGTGGTGGCAGGAAAGATAATGGAATCTTTACTGAAAAGGGTAATAGAAAACTTCTAGAAACCGAAAATATAATACAGCAACAAAATTACATTTGTAAAGTGCATTTCACGTCACGAGGACGTCCAAAGGCCCTGAAGAATAGTCTGCAACAAATAATAAAAACTGCAACAAATAATAAAGAAGTCAGTATGGATTTCAAAAAGGAAGGTCATGCTTGACCAATCTCATTGAATTCTTTGAAGAGGCAACAGAAAGAATACACAAGGGTAATGCAGTAGGTGTAATATATTTGGATTTCCAAAACACATTCGATAAGATACCACATAATAGACTAACGAATAAGGTCAGAGCATGTGGAGTCAGCCATTCTTATTTATTATTTATTTATTATTCTTCATTAGCTTTCAGCCACTCTGCCCCCAACCTCTGGGATTCCATCCCCCCAATCACTCCGCCTCACCCCTTCTTAGCCTCCTTCAAGTCCCGCCTCAAAACCCTCCTCTTCGAGCATGCCCTCGGTCACCCCCACTTCCCCTTCCCTCCCTTCCCCCTCCCTGACCCCAGCTCGGGTTTGAAAAGCTGATCATTTCTTTTTGAAATGCTGTATGACGTGAAAGGCGCTATACAAATGTAATCTTGTTGTTGTTGTCAGGCGAAAAGTAGCAGAATGGATAACAAGCTTGGCTACAAGATAGAAAACAGAGACTAGGGGTAAGGGGTAGCTAAGCTACTCAGACTGGCAGAGGGTGGGAAGTATTGTTCCACAAGGATCGGTATTAGGATCACTGTTCTTCACAATTTACATTAATGATTTAGACTCGGGGATTGAAAGTACAATTTAAAAAATTGCGGATGACACCAAATTGGGGGGAGTAGTTAATATTGAGGAGGACTGCAACAAATTACAAGACATTCATAAACTTGCTGAATGGGCATTTAATTGGCAAATGAATTTCAATATAGATAAGTGTGAGGTGGTACATTTTGGTAGGAGGACTAAGGAGGTCACATACTGCATGGAAAATAAGAATCTAAATGGGGTAGAGGTGAAAAAACATCTAGGGGTAGACACACAAATCACTAAAAGTAGCTATGCAGGTTACTAAGACCATAAAAAAAGCAAACCAAGCATTGGGATTCATTTCTAGAGGGATAGAAATAAAAAGCAGGGAAGTTATGCTAAACTTATATCGAACATTGGTTAGACACACGGAGTACTGTGTACAGTTCTGGTCCCCATATTATAGAAAAGATATAGAGACACTGCAGAAGGTGCAAAGGAGATTTACAAGGATGATACCAGAACTGCAAGGTTATACCTATCAGGAAAGGCTGAACAAGCTTGGACTCTTTTTTTCTTGAAAAGAGAAGGTATTATAGGATAGACATGGAGAAGATGTTTCCACTTGTGGGGAGACCAAAACCAGGGGCCATAGATATAAAATAGTCACCAATAAATCAATCAGGGAAGTCAGAAGAAACTTCTTTACCCAGAAAGTGGTGGGAATGTGAAACTCGTTACCACAAGGAGTAGTTTAGGCGAATAGCATAGATGCATTTAAGAGGAAGCTAGATAAGTACATGAGAGAGAAAGGAATAGAAGGTTCTGCTGATAGGCTTAGTTGAGGATGGGCAAGAGGAGGCTCATGTGGAGCATAAATGCCAACATAGACCAGTTGGGCCAAATGCCCTGTTTCTGTGCTGTATATTCTATGTAATTCTATGTCTGTATTGCCATCCCATTTCCAACCTACCTTTCCTTGCCAAAGTCCTGGAATGCATTGTTGCAGATCAACGTCAGTCACACCCCTCCCTCCACTCCCTCCTTGAGTTTCTGCAGTCTGGTTTTCGCCCTGCTCACAGCACAGAGACAGCACTTATCAAAGTCACAAACAATGTCCTCTCTATCTGTGACCAGGGCTCCCTCTGCCTCCTTGTCGTCCTGGTTCTCTCTGCTGTGTTCGACACAGTCGACCATGCCATCCTTCTCCACTGCCTCGCCCCCCTTATCCACCTTAGTGGGACTGCACACAAATGGTCGAATCCTACTTAACCAACCGCCTCCACTTCATCTCGGCAAATGGTTTCTCCTCCCACCCCTGCCCATTCACCCTCGGGGTACCCCAGGGCTCCATCCTTGGCCCCCTTCTTTTCCTCATCTATATGCTCACTCTTGGCGATATCATCCTCAGACACGGGGGTAAACTTCCACATATATGCAGTTGATGCACAATTCCAGCTCATTCAGAACTCTGCTGCCCGCATACCGACCCTGGAACAAACTTCGTACCCACATCTCATCAGTTCTGGCCAGGTTCTACTGGCTCCCCATCACTGAACGGATCGACTTTGTTTTTGAGGGATTATTATTAGGCTCTGTGTGGAGTAAGGAAACTTGCCCAAGGTTTCGCCCTCTGCCTGGAATTGAACTCAGGTCTCTCACTTGCAAAATACTTAATGTTTAAACTGTGGTAAATATTGCTCCTTTTATTTTTATTGATCATGCGAGAGACACCCTAGTGGCAATCAACCAGTTGGAGACCCCTGGTCTAATCTGACACTCCAATGCAGTGCTGAGGTTGTGTTTCATTGTCAGGGGTGCCAACCTTTGGATGAGATGTTCAAACCGAGGTCCCATCTCCCCTCAAGCTGCTGAAACAAACCCTCCTCCCTAATTTTATTATGTCCAGGCTTGATTATACTAACTCCCTGCTTGCCGGACTTCCCAACTCTTCCCTCCACAAACTGTGGATTATTCAGACTCTGCAGCTCATGTCCCTTCCCACACTATGGGAATAGGAAACTAATAAAGCCTGGCAAGGATGAATGTGATGATCTCATTTCAATTGTTAGGTAGCATGCTGCTATTTCAATTGTTAGGTAGCATAAGGTAGCCTTATGTTCTTGTAAAATAATAAAATAATAATCCTTGCATTTGATATAGTGCTTTTCACGTCTTCTAGACGTCCCAAAGCGCTTCACAGAATATACTGTAAAGTGAATTGACTGTATATTTGTGGGCGAACGTGGCAGCCAATTGCGCACAGCAGTGTCCCACAAACAGTCATGGATTGAAAATGACCAATTTATTATTGTTTTGTTTTTTGGAGGGATTATTATTAGGTGTGTGGAGTAAGGAAACTTGCCCAAGGTTTCGCCCTGACCTGCCTGGAATTGAATTCAAGTCTCTCACTTGCAAAGCGAGTGCTCTAACCACTGAGCTACAGGAACTCCACAGTTTGGGGCATGATATGTCATGCGACTGCCAGAAAGATAGAAGGCAAATTGGGTTTGCAAAAGAAGTCCTTGATCTTCTTTCGCCTAGCAAATTCTTATGTTGGTAGAATTTCCTAAGGGTGGGTTTAAGATGCATTTTTGGGTCAGGGTGTAGGAAGTTTTACCATTCAAAAAATAAAGATAGAAGAAGGTAACAATGATCTGAATATCTTAAGGATTCACCTGGGTGATGGGGGAGAGATACATGGACCATATTTCCTTTTTTTATACTTGGTTTATGTCCTACAGTTCTGTGTAATGCTAATTCTTTATTTTTTACTTGTAATTAAGATGAGAAATTAAGTTTATTCCTTATTTTTATTCTATAGAATGGAGAAGATGAAGTTTTAGATCTTGGCATTCCTATCTCTAATCTTGATGGAATGCGTGTTGTTCTGGATGTTGCAGAGCATAGTGCAGGAAAAGGTAAGCAAGATGTAGTTCATTTTATAGCTGGAGGTGATGATTTTTTCAGTGAGTACAAGTGTAGAGTGAGGATTCGTGCCAACCTGCACCTACTAACAATCTCTGGAATTAGGGAATCCCTCCAGGGAAAGAGTGAACATTCCATTCCAATACCCAGGAATTTCCATGTGTAGCTGGGATGCAAGGAACTCTCCTAGGTTTGGTACTCTTAAGCATGATTATATGTGTCAGGCATCTTTCTGACCAACAATTTTTTTTGGATATAGTACATAGGTAGTTCAGGACATATGTGCTTGCGATCGCCAAGGAAGGTGGAAGGCGAACCAGAAGGCCCTTTGTCTTTTTTTGTTCAGCATTTCTTATGTTCTTAAGAACTATTGAGTTAGATTCTAAGACATTTTTAGCAGGAGCCTTGGGTGTGAGATTGTGTTACATGAAAATAAACTGGTCCATGCACTAAAATATTTGTTAAGTGGATGACACAGTCTGATAACTGAGTTTTAGCTCAAGCCCAGATAGATGAATTGAAAGTTTACTCTGTCAACTCTTTGAGTAGGACACTCTCTGTCTTGACTCATGAAATGAGTTTAGACAATTTCCACCCAATTAGCATCCTTCAGTATTTTCAGCACAGAATTAGGCCATTTGGCCCATCATACCTATGTTGGTTCTTTCTAACATTGGGACTATTTAGGCCCATTCCCCTGCCTTATCCCCCTATTATTTTATATTTTTCCTTTTCAGATGTTTGTCTCATTTCCCTTTAAACAAAAATAATTGCAAAAAATGCATCAGAATCCCCAATTTCTTTTGTGGAATTTTCATTCCTCTTAAAATTCATGCCAAATTTTGAATGTTTGTCATCCAAATTTCAATTTAAAAGCTGCTTAAGAGTCACTGTATTATTCATATGTTTATTTTAAGATCAGTCATTAGTAATGGTTCTTTAGAGTTGTAGAGCTATTGTAATAGAGTATCATCCATTACAATGTTTATTTACAGATAAACAGAAGAGTGGAGGAGTGAAACCAGGTCCATCCACTTTGGGCACAAGAAATCATGATGTAACGGTAATCATTTGAAACTTATTAAAGCTTATTTATGCAAAAGTAGCAAACACTGTTTTTGTCGTTATTGTGCTAGCAATTTGGTTTGACAAATAGTTTTCAATTCCAACATAATATGTCTTTTGATTTGTTCTTTTAAATTGGAATATTACAAACTAACGATTGGAACCTGTTTTAACTAATACTAGGAGAAAGAAGAAAGAAATTTAGGAAAACCATCTTCAGTTAAAGAAAAAGGAGATAATGGAAAATCTTCCAAAGATGAGAACAAGATTGCAAATAATTTCATTCAAGGAAACATTATATTTTGCTTTGGTCAAGCGGATTATTTAATACATGTGAAAACACATCACTATGCTTAAGAGTATCCAAAGCAAACTACTTAAGAGTTCCAATGAAATTTGTCTAGAATGGTATGCGGATTCTCTCCTGAAGATGTGCACACTGCTCACCTAATCCCAGAAAACTATAGGCATGGGTTGGCAAGAGCCAACAACTTTGTGAGTTTTCACGTGCATTTTCTTTCAAATATAATTTTTCAGAAAAGTTATCCAGTCCTCGACTGTAAAGTCCTTCAAGTGAAGAGCGCTCTATAAGTCAAGTTGTTGTTGGTCCACCACATTACTATAGTCCCAGATGAAAGTCGATTTACCAAAGATGGTTATACTGTGTATTTGTAGTCGAATGGTGAATAGTACAGATTGAACTTTAGGAATAATAGGCCAAAAGACTTCATACTGTGTTATGCATGTCTATGGTTCTATGATAAGAAGAGGTATAGGACTTGAATGAAGCATTATAGGCTATCTACTTGTCGAGCCAAACACCAGCGCGAGTCACTACCTTGAGAAGGATAGAAAAGTTGGGTCCAAAATAAAGGCATATAAATCAACTGTCAAGCTAAAAATTATGGAAGCAAGCTCAAACATATATTATATATGGCAGTTATTTTAAAATACATTTCTAATTATATAAATCAATTAAGAAATCATGCAAAATCAATTGTAATATCTCAATTCACATCATATCCTTAATAATATTCATTTCTAAATGAAAACTCAATCCTGCAATCTTGTAAATTTTAAATACATGATCAGGAAAACTATTTTGCAATGCTGAATGTAAAGGGCAGTTAAGGGAACATATTCAGTTTAACTTGCTTTTGCTGTCTAGCTATTGCTTCCTCATGATACAATACAAAATAATCCCTGAAGAAAAAAACCCAATAATAAATCGGTCACTTCAATCCACGACTGTTTGTGGGACATTGCTGTGTGCAATTGGCTGCCGCGTTTTGCCCACAAATATACAGTCAATTCACTTTACAGTATATTCTGTGAAGCGCTTTGGGACATCTAGAAGATGTGAAAAGCACTATATCAAATACAAGGATTATTGTGTTATAAAATACAACACAAAATTACATTTGTATAGATCCTTTCACGTCGGGAGGACGTCCTAAGGCGCTGGGACAGTAATACTCAAAGCACTGTTTGTAAATTAGGTCATAAGTGAGGACTCTGATGTAGTACTGCTACCAATGTTACAACTTGATTTTCAGTCCCAATGGTCACAAGCGCAATAGATAAAATATTTATTTATATGCGCTGTATATGGTTCCCAGCTAATTGAATTCCCAGTGAATAGCAGCATAATAATCAGCAAACCAATCTCTGTTTTAGAGTTCTTTGTCAATCATTAGATATTATTCTATTTTATTTATAATAGCATAAATAAAATATCCTTATTCCCAAAGTGTAATGATGATGGTGAATTGTATAAAAGGGAGTTGATTATAGAGAGGTAATTAGAACAAGAAGCTAGTAAAATTAAAATAATTTAAGTGTTAAACAATAAAGTTTGAGAAAAGATACAGTCTCTTTAGAGACTTTAATACAAAAAATGGAAAGATAGCAATACATTTGTGAAAACATCTACAACAGGTATCTACGAAGTACAGATAAATCATAAGAAAGCAAAAAAAAGTTTTTAATTCTAGGATGAATCATGGCAGTAAAACAATCTAAATTAGTGTACAGAATTATACAAACAAGATAGTAAAATTTACAAATAGCCAAGAACAATGCTTTTAATCAAAAAAGTAATGATTTCTTGGGTTAAATTTCATGCAACAAACTTTTCATAGAGGATTTTCCAGTTATAATTATTTGCTGAAAACAGAACAAACATCTGGTAACCTGATATCACATCCCCTTCAGGGATAATGTTGCAATTAATTTTTGACAGCCAGGTTACAAAATGAACATTGTTCAATGTAAGCCTGTTGGTTTTCAATTATTGTTTAATTATAAAATTATAATTTGTTAAAAATTTTCTCAAAGAGCCTACTAACATTCATGAAAAGTAAAATACTAAATGAAGGCACTTAGAGTATAGGCAATTGCTTCAATCATCTAGCTCTTCAAAAGTATCTTTGGTCTCAAACCTATCATCAAAGTATTAGTTATCATTTACATTACATGAACTTAAATCATTCTGCAATTAAATTTGCGCAATGCTGCATGATATAAAAACAAATATTTCAACTGAGTTTAAACTAAAACTTCAGTACCACCTAAAATGTGCACTCTGACAATGAGATGATCAGGGAGATTAGAATGAGTTACTGTTGTTTGTCAAACAATGTAAAAACTGATTTGTGAAAAAGTGTTAATCATATTTAAAAATTATGTGTGGTCCTTGGATCTGTCTTGTGATAATTTCTCAATCACCAGTGCAGTGACATAATGTTTAATAAAACATTGCAGGAATTATTCTAGAAAGTGCAACGGGCCCAACAAAATATCCTCAAACACAGTTAAAATTAATTACATAAAAATAATTTGTATGATACACATTGAAGTTCACCTTTTCTAGTGTCCCAATCCAGAGTTTTTTGTATTCTCTACAGTACTATGAACAGTTAGATACTGCAGAAAACATATGTGAACTGATAAATTAGTGCATTATGTATGCTTTGCAAGTCCTTTTCCAGTTTTAAAAATATTACTTTCAATACAATCAACAACACATTTAAAAATTGTTATGAATTATCCAGTCAACAAATGGACACACCCAATTTAAATACCTGAAGCGGATCTGTGGTGTGAAGAGTTCTTCTGATCATCAGAGCAGGGGGTTGGTGGAGTATAGTTAGCTACATCCAGTTTACTGATACTGGATGATGGTGTTAGTGAGGGAGGTAACAATGTACTGTTGGGGCTACTGATATCACCTTCTGCCACTAGAGTCAGATCAGATACATTCTCATCTTCACAAGGCTGTATTATTTCAGACTGCCTATCTCCAGAATGTCCTTCCCACCTCTGGTCATTCACATGTAGAATTGGAGAGACTGGTGCATGAAAGGGGACATCATGTAACTGCTGAATATCTGGTTTTACAAGATGGGATGGCACTGAAACAGGCCAATGCCGGCTGTCTTGTTGATGCATTGGCTTGCCTTTTAGATTGTTGGGATTTTCATTAAAATTCAGCGTAGACGGATTAGTTGGGCTGGAGTCTATAAACTCTAATTTATCAGACTGTTGTGCTGAGATGAAAGCTTTGTTCACAGAAGTATCTGTTTGGCTTTTGTCCTCACGTTTCTTGCCATTCACTTTATTTGCTACAGGTGTGGAGGAGCTAGGCTCAGGCATGGGAACCTTGAGGCGTAGAAAATCTGGTAGAACGAGGTCTTCTTTCTTCAAAAGTCCACGTTGATCATCGACCCGATTGCGTTGAGCTTTTGTCAAAAGATTAAATAACTCTGCCAAAATGAAAATATCAATCCGGAAATTAATACATCAGAGAAAAGCAAATGTAAGTTCTTAAGAAAAAATAAAACAACTCTCCTACCATAATAGTAAATCAACTCTTCGTTGGGTTTTGTTATCTGTCAAACATGGAAAAACTTCAATACGGGACTCTAACATGACTATAATTGCCTAAGAAGGCGAAATTCAGCCATCATTTGCATTTCCGAATAATATCCAGTGAAAAATATTGAACAGTGTGTAAATACCCATTGATAAGGATCAGGCTCAGCGGTCATGTACCAACAGTCGAACAGCAATCTAACACTAACTATGTGGATAGGGCATTTTGGGTGAGGTGCTTGAAGATGGTCAGTGCCAGTGGAACTGGACTTCAGCATGAGTCAGTACTTTCAGGATGTGGAAGGAGAAAATTGGAGCAATCCAAAAAAAAAACAGGATAGAAAGATAGTCAGGCCAAAAACAATAGGGGGAAAGAAAGGAGACAATTAAGTTGAATGGAAAGAGAAGGAAACATTACAGGTTTTAATAGGGCATAAGTCATAGTGTAGCAAGAGAGTTTTGTAATATGGTTATTTCACTTTAAACATCTTTCACACAACCCTACGTATTTCTCCCACTAATTTTCTCTTTTTCCTCAACAGTTAGGGGAATAGATAGCATCCTCTGTAGCCAAGAACGAGAGTCCTAAGGGTGTGTTGCCTACCTGGTGCCAGGGTAAGTGATATCTCGAGGCAGCTGGAGAGGAATTTGGAAAGGGAGGGGGCAGATCCAGTTGTGGTTCATGTTGGGACAAACGACATAGGTAAGAACAGGGAGGAGGTGCTGCAGAGGGAGTTTCAGGAGTTAGGAGCTAAGTTAAAAGATAGGACCTCAAGGGTAATAATCTCTGGATTATTACCTGAGCCACATGCAAATTGGAGTAGGGGAAGACAGATTAGGAAAGTTAACACATGGCTAAAGAATTGTTGTGGGAAAGAAGGGTTCCATTTCATGGGACACTGGCACCAGTACTGGGACAGGAAGGAGATGTACCGATGGGATGGGCTCCACATGAATCAGAATGGGACCAGTGTCCTAGGGAAAGGGTAAATAGGGCTGTGGCAAAGGCTTTAAACTAGTAAAATCGGGGGAGAGATCAGAAAGAAATGTCATAAACCCAAATATAAAGGAAACACGAGATGAGAGTATAGGTGAGACAAAACTAAGGAATAAGGAGAACATAAATGGTCAGAGAATTAAAAATAAAGTGAGAGGAACAACTAATAAAAATGATTTGAACTGTCTTTACAGCAATGTACACAGCATCCGAAACAAAAAAGAACTGGGGGCAATAATTCGTAGTGAAGAACCAGATATAGTAGGGATTACTGAAACATGGCTACGGAAAGTACAGGACTGGAAATTAAACATTGCAGTGTATAACATATTTAGAAAGGATAGAGACAGGAGAAAGAGCTGTAGAGTAGCTGTACTTATTAGGGACAACATCATGGCAGTAGAAACAAGGGACATAGCCATTAGTAAGATAGAAACAGAATTTGTGTGGATAGACATAAAAGATGAGAAGGGATCAATCACACAAATACGGGTACTCTACAGACCACCTAATAGTGGAAGGGAGGTAGAGGAAAAAATATGCAAGCAAATTAGGGAAATGAGTAACAGACATACTGTAATAATCATTGGGGATTTCAACCACCCCCAAATAAATTGGCTTGAAGAGGTAGGTAAAGGGGATAAGGGAATGGAATTCCTTCAATGTGTACAGGACTCCTGTAGCTCAGTGGTTAGAGCATTCGCTTTGTAAGCGAGAGACCTGAGTTCAATTCCAGGCAGTTCAGGGCGAAACCTTGGGCAAGTTTCCTTTCTCCACACAGAGCCTAATAATAATCCCTCCAAAAAACAAAAACAATAATAAATTGGTCATTTTCAATCTACGACTGTTTGTGGGACATTGCTGTGCGCAATTGGTTGCCGCATTCGCCCACAAATATACAGTCAATTCACTTTACAGTATATTCTGTGAAGCGCTTTGGGACCTCCTCCCGACGTGAAAAGTGCTGTATCAAATGCAAGGATTATTATTATTATTATTATTACCCAGAGGCCCAACAAGGGAGGAATCACTGCTGGATGTAGTAATGGGAAATGAACCCAAGCAGATAAGAGAAGTAAGAGTAGGGGAACATCTAGGCAATAGCGATTATAACTTAATAAGGTTTAAGATAAAGATTGAGTATGACAAAGACCAGGGTAATAGATTGGAAAAAAAGCTGATTTTGAGGGGATGAAAATGGAACTTGGGAAAGTAAACTGGAAAACAATATTGGCAAACAAAGAGATAGAGCAGCAGTGGGAAACATTTAATATGGTGATCGATAAGATTCCAGGAGAAATATATTCCGCTAAAAAACAAGATAAAGCTAAACAATAGTGAAACGCCGTGGATGAATAAAGACATAAGAGCAAAGTTGAGACTGAGGAAAGAGGCGTTCACTGAGTACATAAACAACAAGGGAGATCATGACAAAAAAGAATACGAAGAGGTTAGTCAAAACAACAATTAGGAAGGCAAAGAGGAACTATGAAACTAAATTATCAAGGAATATAAAAGACATAGTAAAATATTCTACAGACATAAATAACAAAAGAAAAATCAAAATAAGAATAAGGCCACTAAGGGATGGACAAGATAAGTTCACAGACAGCGACAGCAAAATGGCAGAGATATTGAACAATTACTTTGCCTCAGTTTTTAACAGGAAGATGGATCAGGTGGATATGACAGTAAAAAAAATCAAAAATTATATAAATACATTTAAGATAAAAAGGGGGCGATAACCAATAAACTAACCAAACTCAGAGAGGATAAAACCCCTGGTCCGGATGGATTGCATCCGCGTTCATTAAAGGGATAGCAGAGACACTATTACATATATATAATTCATCAGAAAAGGGAGTAGTGCCAGAGGACTGGGGGATAGCTAATGTTATACCTATATTTAAAAAGGGAGATAGAACAAGCCCAAGGAACTATATATCTGTCAGCTTAAAAGTGGTGGCAGGAAAGATAATGGAATCTTTACTGAAAAGGGTAATAGAAAACTTCTAGAAACCGAAAATATAATACAGCAACAAAATTACATTTGTAAAGTGCATTTCACGTCACGAGGACGTCCAAAGGCCCTGAAGAATAGTCTGCAACAAATAATAAAAACTGCAACAAATAATAAAGAAGTCAGTATGGATTTCAAAAAGGAAGGTCATGCTTGACCAATCTCATTGAATTCTTTGAAGAGGCAACAGAAAGAATACACAAGGGTAATGCAGTAGGTGTAATATATTTGGATTTCCAAAACACATTCGATAAGATACCACATAATAGACTAACGAATAAGGTCAGAGCATGTGGAGTCAGCCATTCTTATTTATTATTTATTTATTATTCTTCATTAGCTTTCAGCCACTCTGCCCCCAACCTCTGGGATTCCATCCCCCCAATCACTCCGCCTCACCCCTTCTTAGCCTCCTTCAAGTCCCGCCTCAAAACCCTCCTCTTCGAGCATGCCCTCGGTCACCCCCACTTCCCCTTCCCTCCCTTCCCCCTCCCTGACCCCAGCTCGGGTTTGAAAAGCTGATCATTTCTTTTTGAAATGCTGTATGACGTGAAAGGCGCTATACAAATGTAATCTTGTTGTTGTTGTCAGGCGAAAAGTAGCAGAATGGATAACAAGCTTGGCTACAAGATAGAAAACAGAGACTAGGGGTAAGGGGTAGCTAAGCTACTCAGACTGGCAGAGGGTGGGAAGTATTGTTCCACAAGGATCGGTATTAGGATCACTGTTCTTCACAATTTACATTAATGATTTAGACTCGGGGATTGAAAGTACAATTTAAAAAATTGCGGATGACACCAAATTGGGGGGAGTAGTTAATATTGAGGAGGACTGCAACAAATTACAAGACATTCATAAACTTGCTGAATGGGCATTTAATTGGCAAATGAATTTCAATATAGATAAGTGTGAGGTGGTACATTTTGGTAGGAGGACTAAGGAGGTCACATACTGCATGGAAAATAAGAATCTAAATGGGGTAGAGGTGAAAAAACATCTAGGGGTAGACACACAAATCACTAAAAGTAGCTATGCAGGTTACTAAGACCATAAAAAAAGCAAACCAAGCATTGGGATTCATTTCTAGAGGGATAGAAATAAAAAGCAGGGAAGTTATGCTAAACTTATATCGAACATTGGTTAGACACACGGAGTACTGTGTACAGTTCTGGTCCCCATATTATAGAAAAGATATAGAGACACTGCAGAAGGTGCAAAGGAGATTTACAAGGATGATACCAGAACTGCAAGGTTATACCTATCAGGAAAGGCTGAACAAGCTTGGACTCTTTTTTTCTTGAAAAGAGAAGGTATTATAGGATAGACATGGAGAAGATGTTTCCACTTGTGGGGAGACCAAAACCAGGGGCCATAGATATAAAATAGTCACCAATAAATCAATCAGGGAAGTCAGAAGAAACTTCTTTACCCAGAAAGTGGTGGGAATGTGAAACTCGTTACCACAAGGAGTAGTTTAGGCGAATAGCATAGATGCATTTAAGAGGAAGCTAGATAAGTACATGAGAGAGAAAGGAATAGAAGGTTCTGCTGATAGGCTTAGTTGAGGATGGGCAAGAGGAGGCTCATGTGGAGCATAAATGCCAACATAGACCAGTTGGGCCAAATGCCCTGTTTCTGTGCTGTATATTCTATGTAATTCTATGTCTGTATTGCTTCATGGCAGACTGGGTTAAAACACTTCCTTCCACTGAATTGGTACTATTCATTAAGTTACTGTGCTAGCCAGTTATTTTGTAGCTTAATATACCTTCTACTTCATTCAATTTCAGTTTGGGCTGTTTCTTCTTTTCTGTCCTTTCAATTAAATCTTCTTTCTTCAAACTTCTTCCATCTTTGGAAGATTTTCCATTATCTCCTTTTTCTTTAACTGAAGATGGTTTTCCTAAATTTCTTTCTTCTTTCTCCTAGTATTAGTTAAAACAGGTTCCAATCGTTAGTTTGTAATATTCCAATTTAAAAGAACAAATCAAAAGACATATTATGTTGGAATTGAAAACTATTTGTCAAACCAAATTGCTAGCACAATAACGACAAAAACAGTGTTTGCTACTTTTGCATAAATAAGCTTTAATAAGTTTCAAATGATTACCGTTACATCATGATTTCTTGTGCCCAAAGTGGATGGACCTGGTTTCACTCCTCCACTCTTCTGTTTATCTGTAAATAAACATTGTAATGGATGATACTCTATTACAATAGCTCTACAACTCTAAAGAACCATTACTAATGACTGATCTTAAAATAAACATATGAATAATACAGTGACTCTTAAGCAGCTTTTAAATTGAAATTTGGATGACAAACATTCAAAATTTGGCATGAATTTTAAGAGGAATGAAAATTCCACAAAAGAAATTGGGGATTCTGATGCATTTTTTGCAATTATTTTTGTTTAAAGGGAAATGAGACAAACATCTGAAAAGGAAAAATATAAAATAATAGGGGGATAAGGCAGGGGAATGGGCCTAAATAGTCCCAATGTTAGAAAGAACCAACATAGGTATGATGGGCCAAATGGCCTAATTCTGTGCTGAAAATACTGAAGGATGCTAATTGGGTGGAAATTGTCTAAACTCATTTCATGAGTCAAGACAGAGAGTGTCCTACTCAAAGAGTTGACAGAGTAAACTTTCAATTCATCTATCTGGGCTTGAGCTAAAACTCAGTTATCAGACTGTGTCATCCACTTAACAAATATTTTAGTGCATGGACCAGTTTATTTTCATGTAACACAATCTCACACCCAAGGCTCCTGCTAAAAATGTCTTAGAATCTAACTCAATAGTTCTTAAGAACATAAGAAATGCTGAACAAAAAAAGACAAAGGGCCTTCTGGTTCGCCTTCCACCTTCCTTGGCGATCGCAAGCACATATGTCCTGAACTACCTATGTACTATATCCAAAAAAATTGTTGGTCAGAAAGATGCCTGACACATATAATCATGCTTAAGAGTACCAAACCTAGGAGAGTTCCTTGCATCCCAGCTACACATGGAAATTCCTGGGTATTGGAATGGAATGTTCACTCTTTCCCTGGAGGGATTCCCTAATTCCAGAGATTGTTAGTAGGTGCAGGTTGGCACGAATCCTCACTCTACACTTGTACTCACTGAAAAAATCATCACCTCCAGCTATAAAATGAACTACATCTTGCTTACCTTTTCCTGCACTATGCTCTGCAACATCCAGAACAACACGCATTCCATCAAGATTAGAGATAGGAATGCCAAGATCTAAAACTTCATCTTCTCCATTCTATAGAATAAAAATAAGGAATAAACTTAATTTCTCATCTTAATTACAAGTAAAAAATAAAGAATTAGCATTACACAGAACTGTAGGACATAAACCAAGTATAAAAAAAGGAAATATGGTCCATGTATCTCTCCCCATCACCCAGGTGAATCCTTAAGATATTCAGATCATTGTTACCTTCTTCTATCTTTATTTTTTGAATGGTAAAACTTCCTACACCCTGACCCAAAAATGCATCTTAAACCCACCCTTAGGAAATTCTACCAACATAAGAATTTGCTAGGCGAAAGAAGATCAAGGACTTCTTTTGCAAACCCAATTTGCCTTCTATCTTTCTGGCAGTCGCATGACATATCATGCCCCAAACTGTGGAGTTCCTGTAGCTCAGTGGTTAGAGCACTCGCTTTGCAAGTGAGAGACTTGAATTCAATTCCAGGCAGGTCAGGGCGAAACCTTGGGCAAGTTTCCTTACTCCACACACCTAATAATAATCCCTCCAAAAAACAAAACAATAATAAATTGGTCATTTTCAATCCATGACTGTTTGTGGGACACTGCTGTGCGCAATTGGCTGCCACGTTCGCCCACAAATATACAGTCAATTCACTTTACAGTATATTCTGTGAAGCGCTTTGGGACGTCTAGAAGACGTGAAAAGCACTATATCAAATGCAAGGATTATTATTTTATTATTTTACAAGAACATAAGGCTACCTTATGCTACCTAACAATTGAAATAGCAGCATGCTACCTAACAATTGAAATGAGATCATCACATTCATCCTTGCCAGGCTTTATTAGTTTCCTATTCCCATAGTGTGGGAAGGGACATGAGCTGCAGAGTCTGAATAATCCACAGTTTGTGGAGGGAAGAGTTGGGAAGTCCGGCAAGCAGGGAGTTAGTATAATCAAGCCTGGACATAATAAAATTAGGGAGGAGGGTTTGTTTCAGCAGCTTGAGGGGAGATGGGACCTCGGTTTGAACATCTCATCCAAAGGTTGGCACCCCTGACAATGAAACACAACCTCAGCACTGCATTGGAGTGTCAGATTAGACCAGGGGTCTCCAACTGGTTGATTGCCACTAGGGTGTCTCTCGCATGATCAATAAAAATAAAAGGAGCAATATTTACCACAGTTTAAACATTAAGTATTTTGCAAGTGAGAGACCTGAGTTCAATTCCAGGCAGAGGGCGAAACCTTGGGCAAGTTTCCTTACTCCACACAGAGCCTAATAATAATCCCTCAAAAACAAAGTCGATCCGTTCAGTGATGGGGAGCCAGTAGAACCTGGCCAGAACTGATGAGATGTGGGTACGAAGTTTGTTCCAGGGTCGGTATGCGGGCAGCAGAGTTCTGAATGAGCTGGAATTGTGCATCAACTGCATATATGTGGAAGTTTACCCCCGTGTCTGAGGATGATATCGCCAAGAGTGAGCATATAGATGAGGAAAAGAAGGGGGCCAAGGATGGAGCCCTGGGGGTACCCCGAGGGTGAATGGGCAGGGGTGGGAGGAGAAACCATTTGCCGAGATGAAGTGGAGGCGGTTGGTTAAGTAGGATTCGACCATTTGTGTGCAGTCCCACTAAGGTGGATAAGGGGGGCGAGGCAGTGGAGAAGGATGGCATGGTCGACTGTGTCGAACACAGCAGAGAGAACCAGGACGACAAGGAGGCAGAGGGAGCCCTGGTCACAGATAGAGAGGACATTGTTTGTGACTTTGATAAGTGCTGTCTCTGTGCTGTGAGCAGGGCGAAAACCAGACTGCAGAAACTCAAGGAGGGAGTGGAGGGAGGGGTGTGACTGACGTTGATCTGCAACAATGCATTCCAGGACTTTGGCAAGGAAAGGTAGGTTGGAAATGGGATGGTAGTGCAGAGGGATCGAGGGTGGATTTTTTGAGGAGGAATGTGATAACAGCGGTTTCATGGAGAGTGGAAAAAGCCTGAGGAGAAAGACTGGTTGACTGTGTCGGCCAGCAGGGGAGAGAGGAGGAGGAGTTGAGTGACCAGCAGCTGGGTGGGGAGGGGTTTGAGGCAGCAGGTGGTGAACTTCATGCAGGATTGTGGTTGAGAGGGAGGAGGAAGAAATGGGGGCAAAGGAATGGGTAGTGGCAGGAGCTGTGGCGGAGGGAGAAGGTGGTGTGGATGGTTTGGGTGGGGTGCAAGGTGACATGGGTGGGGTGGGAGGAGAAGGACAATGCTGCCAATCGCATGTTTGCAATCTTTGAGACAAGGAAGTCTACAATCTCTTCGCACTTGGTGTTTGATGTGAGGATAGAAGGAGCTTGAGGGGGAGCATGGAGGAGGTGATGAATGGTGGAAAGCAGTGTCTTTGGGTTGTTTTTGGCCTCCAGGATGACTTTGGAGTAAAAGTCAGTTTTGGTCTGTGAAAGCGAGAGGCGGTAGGTGCACAGGGGCTCGAGCCACAGATGGCGGTGAATCGTAAGGTGGGATTTCTGCTACCTGCACTCAAGTATCCGGGTTTGTGCTTCAAGTGAGCAGAGATGTTGTACTGGGGGAGCGGGTGGAATTGGAAATAGCCCTGGATTTCAGGGGAGCCAGGAATTGGCTGCATCAGGATCGCTGCGGGTGGAGGGCCAGAGGGAGAGGAAGTCCGAGGAAGAGAGGGCATATGTGAGGGACTCAGGGGGAAGCTTTTTTCAGGGGCAGAAAAAAATGGTGGAGAGCTTGGAAGAGGCAAGGGGGATGCGGAAAGAGAGGGAGATGAGGAAGTGGTACGAGATGGCCTTGTCCTTGATGGTCACGTCGAAAATGTCTGGCCATGTGTGATGACGAGTTTGAGGGGGTGGCCACGGTTGTGGGTTGGTGAGTTGATGTGGAGGGTGAGTTTAGGGAGGAGAGGAGGGCAGTGAAATCCGAGGAGGTGGTGCAAGGAGAGTTAAGGTGGAGGTTGAAATCACCCATTATGAGCAGATGTTCATTGCAGTGGGATAGGGATGAGAGGAGAGCGGAGATATCGGTGAGGAAGGAGCCAGGAGGTTTGGGAGGGCGGTAACTAGGAGAATTTTGAGGGAGCGAGAGGAGGGATGGTAGAGGATGAGGTGCTCAAAGGAGGAGAAACAGCCAGAGGAATAGAAGATAGACCAAGGGAAACTTGGGAAATGAGGGCCACCCCGCCGCCACTTTGATTGGGACGGGTGTGTGGTGAAAAGTGTAGCCAGGAGAGTAGGCTTCAACGAGGGGCACGGGATCACCAAAGGAAAGTCAGGTTTCTGTAAACCCTAAAATATCGATGTGCTCATCCAGGATGAGGTCATGGATAGTAAAAGCTTTATTGGAGAGGGAGCAAACATTCTGGAGGGAAATGCAGATAGGTTTGCTGGTGGTGGGGGATGGAGGGGAGAGTGTAATAGAGAGGATTTGGGGTCGTGGGGGAGAAATGACTGTGGAATTTGAGGAGGGGGGAGAGTTGGAGAGGCTATGGATGAGGGAGTGGGAAGGGGTGTTTGCCTTTCGGAGACAGTTGGTGCAGAGAGTGAGCGATGGGACAGTTGGCCTGGCTACTCTGGGACAACCAATGCCAGGAGCCACTATGGGCCCGGCGAAGGATGCCCAGGATAAGGCAGGAGAGTGAGCCTAAATAGTCCTAATGTTAGAAAGAATCGGATAGGTATGATGGGTCAAATGGCCTAATTCTGTGCTGAAAATATTGAATTTTCCCCAGGAACCCCATTCACTCCCTGGCGCCTCCCTAGCTCTCCAACCTCCTCACTCCCAAATCTACCAACCAGCAACTCCACTCGACTGGCACACGCCTCTTCCTCATCCCTCACACCCTCCACCCCACCATTGGAGGTCGCGCTTTCAGCCACTACGCCCCCAAACTCTGGAACAGTCTCCCTCAATACCTCCGCCTTGTACCCTCTCTCCCCTCGTTCAAGTCCCACTTGAAAACGTTCCTCTTCGACCGTGCTTACAGCCACCTTCCCCCTCCCCCCAGCTCAGAGTCAGTCTTTGCCACTGTTAAGCACTCTGAGACATTACCCTGCATGGATGGCGCTATAAAAGTGCAAATTGTTGTTGTTGTTGAATGATGCTAACTGGATGGAAATTGTCTGAACTAATTTCATATGAGTCAAGACAGAGTGTCCTATTCAGAGAGTTGACAGAGAACAGACTTTCAATCCATCTATCTGGGCTTGAGCTAAAACTCAGTTATCAGACTGTGTCACCCATTTAACAAATATTTTAGTGCATGGACCAGTTTATTTCCATGTAACACAATCTCACACACAAGGCTTCTGCTAAATAGTTCTTAGAATTTAACTCAATAGTTCTTAAGAACATAAGTATATGAGAAATGCTAGACAAAAAAAAACCATGGTCCCTCTAGTTCGCCTTCCACCTTCCTGGTGGTTCCATGCATATATGTCCCCTTTGAACCTTATCTAACAATGTTATTTCCTAAAAAAAACTATCTAATTTGTGTTTGAAAGAATCAACAATTCCTGCTTCAACATCTCCCAAGCGAGTCTGTTCCACAGGTTCACTCTTCGCTCACTAAAAGTGTTTGTGTAGATTCATTCTGCATTTACCCCCTTCAATCACAGGCCGTGTCCTCTGATTTTTCTATTCTGGATAAGTTGAAACAGCCTGTCATGATCTATGTTGGCCAGCCCCTTTAGAAACTTAAAGACAATAATCATGTCACCTCTCAATCTTCCTCTTTTCCAGCATGAACATGGCCAATTTACTTAGTCGCTCCTCATAGTCCAGTCCCTCCATTCCCTCAATCAATTTGGTTGCCCTTCTCTGTATCGTCTCAATTTCCACAATATCCTTTTTGTACTGTGGTGACCAGAACTGTACACAGTACTCTAAGTGTGGTCTCACTAATGATTCTTACAGTGGCAGGATTATCCCACTATTTCAGCTTGCTATTGATCTTTTGTTATATCCCAATATCTGGTTTGCTTCACTCACTACCAGAGCATTGTTGGGAGAGCTTCAATTTATTGTCAATCAGGACCCCAGGTGTTTTCATTTTCCATACATATTATTTTCTTTCGTTCAAATAATAATAATAATAATAATAATCCTGGCATTTGATATAGCGCTTTTCACGTTGGGAGGACGTCCCAAAGCGCTTCACAGAACACACTGTAAAGTGAATTGACTGTGTATTTGTGGGCGAACGCGGCAGCCAATTGCGCACAGCAATGTCCCACAAACAGTCGTAGATTGAAAATGACCAATTTATTATTGTTTTTGGTTTTGGAGGGATTATTATTAGGTGTGTGGAGTAAGGAAACTTGCCCAAGGTTTCGCCCTCTGCCTGGAATTGAACTCAGGTCTCTCACTTGCAAAGCGAGTGCTCTAACCACTGAGCTACAGGACTCCACATAATAGTCTCTTTCAGGATTTTTTGTCCCTATGTGAAGTACTTTACATTTCTTCACATTGAATTTCATTTGCCACCGATCTGCCCAATTCCCAAGTATGTTCAAATCCTCCTGTAACCTATCTTGTTCAGTTCTTGATGATAGTGTACAGGCACACATTCAAAAGCAAAGTTGCATTTGAAATTTCTAGAGTTCCTAAAGAAAATCAAAGTCCGTTTATTTCTATATACTCACAATTCTAGCCACTAATTCATTAAGTTTTAAACCATATTTTGCCACCACTGGTCGCAATACTTCGGTCACTGGTTTGGTTGGTTTGGCTTTTAAACCAACTGATCGATTGATAGGGACAAGGTCCAGTCTGAAAACAGAAGAAAAAAGTTTAATAGTCAGCTTTGAACAGTCAACATGATATTTTCTTTCAGAGGCCCAGTTCTCAATGCAATCAGTGGGGCTGCAGAGCTAAGTGATGGGGCTGCTTGCAGTCACAATATGGGAGTGGAGTTGGTGGGTTGAGCTCATAGTGTGCAATTGGAACACACTCTCTTAGAGACCAGGTTCAAGACGTTCTCAAAAGTCTACATGATAGACATGGAGTTCCTGGAAGAAAGTCTTTACATCCTATGGACAATTCTCCAGTATGAGGTGGCATTTATGCTGCAGTTTTCTTGATGAACACATTTGCATATTACTGCGCCTGCTTCAGTTGATTTCCCTTACAATTTATTCCACAAATCTGGGTATCTGTCTCTGGGTGTCACAGATCTGGGTATCTGACTTTGGGTATCTGGAATTCCAACCTAGCCTGAATTATTTTTAAAAATCCGTGGGCCCACATGCATGTAGACATTTTGAAAAATGTCAGTAAATGCCAGTACTAGCATTGTAAGGACACTTAGCAGGAAATTCCAGTTCACCAGACTGGACCGGATCTCCCACCTCCATCCTTCCCCCCCCCATTAGTTGGCTAGCCAAGGTTCAAGTGCATTCTTCAAATGAAAGACATGAGCTTTGTCAATCCTCTCAATAATCTTGGAAACTTCAATTAAATAACCTAAAATAAGAGAGTAATAATCCTTGCATCTGATAAACCACTTTTTATGTTGGGAGGATGTCTCAAAGTGCTTCATAGAATTTTACTGTACAGTGTAGTGACTGTGTATTTTGTAGGCGAACGTCCCAAGATGACTTATGAATTGACATTTAAATACATATATTGGAGTTTGACTAATGTTCAGAATTATAATTAACATCCATAATTTAATCTGTAATCAACATTCATGATTTAACTCACTACAGCACAGTAATATAATATGGATAACTTTATTATAAAATAAAGTATTTTACATTCCCTCGGTGGACTTGAGAACAATTAGCAGTAGCAGTATACTCAGAGATGACAGAGGTACATTTACCCAATGTATAAATAAAGAAGATTAGGAGAGTCTGAACCAGGGTAGGCACATTAGAAAATGTATTCAACTGTTAGTTACACTTGGAATGTTGTATTGACTTTTCATTCAACCCTTCTACATTTTATAGCTCATGATTTCAACAAATTTTAGGAATTTAAACGAAGACATTTTTAACTTACCGAAACAAAGTGCGCTTTTCTAATCGAACCTCCCGTGTGTTTAACGTAATGCAGTCCTGATCAAGTACAAGGGGCTGTTTAATAAATTGTAATGGTATAAAAGTTAGGGTATTGAAGCTACTCAATTTTCACAGTAAGCACTCATAAATCAATGACTTCAACAATTTTGTACATGATCTAAAGAGAGCAGTACTGATCCCTACCAGAATTAAAACTCTCATTGTCTTCTTACATACAAGAGTACTGAAATTATTTTTCATCGACAATAAACTGATGGGAATAATGTCTGCTAGAGATTTAATTAACAAGGTATTTAAAATGTTTTTTTGTGCAAGTTGATAATCAAAATTATAAAAGGAATCAATCAGATGGATGTTAATCGGCTGTTTCTACTTATTGGTGTGTCCAAAACAAGGTTGATAAATATAAGATGGATCTTAGCAGATCTTAAAAGGGAATTTAGGAGGAACTTCTTTATACAGAACGTAGTGAGAATGTGGAATTCACTGGCAGATGCTGTGATTGAAAGCATCAACATATTTAAGGGGAATTTTGATGCAAGGATAAAGGAATAGAGGGATATAGGAAAGATTAGGAGGATTGTAGGCTCATGTAAAATATAAGCAGCAGGAAAGCTTGCTGGATAGTACTTTCAATGTACTTTTTAGCTGGTTAGACGCCAGCAGTACCCCAACACATACTCAGAGGTCCCCAAACCTTGGCTTTTGTCAAACTGTGCTAATACCCTCTGGAATTAAGTAACCAGGATGTTTCCCTTCAGGGAGAAAGTCACATCCCATTCCAATATACATCCCTAGAATTTCTATTTGTAGGTGGGATACATGGAACTCTGTTTGGTCGGCTTGTCGGCCTTCCCAACTCCTCCCTCCACAGGCTGCAGATAATTCAGAACTCTGCAGCCAGTGTCCTCTCCTGCATCAAACTCCGTGACCCTATCTCCCCCACTCTCGCCCGACTCCATTGGTTCCCTATCCTTTAGAGGATCCAGTTCAATATCCTGGTCCTCACCTACAAAGCCCTCCATGGCCTCGCCCCACCCTACTTCTGCGACCTCCTAACCCCCTACCAACTCGCCCGTTTCCTCCGCTCAGCCGGTTCTGGCCTGCTCCATGTCCCCCAACCCACCCGCCCCACCATTGGCGGGAGAGCCTTCAGCCACTCTGCCCCAACCTCTGGAATTCCATCCCCCAATCAGTCCGCCTCACCCCCTCCTTAGCCCCTTCAAGTCCCACCTCAAGACCCTCCTCTTCGACCATACCATCAGCCACCCCCCTTCCCTCCCATCTCCCCCACCTGACCCCAGCTCGGGTCTGAAATGCTGTACACTGCCCAGCACCTTGGGACGTCCTCCTGACATGAAAGGCGCTACACAAATGTAATCTTGTTGTTGTTGGTTTGGATACTGTTAAGCATGGTGATGGGTTCCTACATGTGCCAGACACCTGGTTGACCAAAAAAAGTGATAGCTTATTTGGGCCAAATGGCCTGTTTCCGTGCTGTAATGTTCTGTGTAATTCTATGCATTTCTATGTGAATAGAACATTGTTGAGAAATTTGGGAAATTGGAACACCTTTTAGTAAATATAGTATAGTAAGAAATATATATAGTACTTTCCTAAAAGGCATGTGATTTAACACTTAGTCTCTTAAAAAAATCTTTTGCCAATAGACCAAAATCCAATATAAACGAATAAAAAATTAACCTCATTTTGTTTGAAATGTTTTGAATCTATTTTGTTCCACTGTTATATAGCAGTAAAAGTAAGCAGAAAGTAACTTCAAATACCTTGTCTGCTCCAACCAAAAAGAGGTCTATGGCTGCCACTTGAATGTGCAGTTGTTCAGAAAGCTCAGTCAGTAATTCTCGAATGGAAATGCCAGCTTGAATTGCTACCGTGTAAGAAGAGCCATCTGGAAGATTCACGATGCAGTGTTTTGCAGACTTTTCTTTCTCAGTCATAGGCATTAAGACTCTGGTGGCATCAGACTTCTTAAAATAGAAGAAGAGTTTTGATCAATTCAATTTTGAATACAAAATGAACACGTCAAAATAGAACACCAGTAGATTCTTAAACCGTTATGCAAGTCCCTACTAATAAGAAAAAAAATTATCTTGGCTGTAGACTGGATTAAAATTAGAAACAAGCAATATTCATAAAATTATTTTAACCTCATCCCTCCCAAAATATAAACAGTAAATATTGTTACTGATGCAAAAGGTTCTGGAAATCTTCTCTGTACCAATGTTGAAGTACAGGATGACCAAAAAGTCATGATTATCTAAAAAGATCTTTAATTTCTTTAAGACTTATTAGACATTGTGATGGTACCTTGGGACATCCTCCCTACGTGAAAGGCACTATACAAATATAATTTTGTTGTTATCACAACTTTTTGGTCACCAAGATGTATCACAACATATCCGATACATGTGGAAGTTTACCCCGTGTCTGTGGATGATATCGCCCAGAGGGAGCATATAGATATGGAAAAGAAGGGGGCCAAGGCTAGAGCCCTGGAGTACCCCGCAGGTTACTGGGCGGGCGGGAGGAGAAACCATTTGCCGAGATGAAATGGAGGCAGTTGATTAAGAAGGACTTGAATCTTGCGAGTACGGTCCCACTAAGGTGGATAAACAATAATAATCCTTGCTTTTGATATAGTGTTTTTCACGTCTTCTAGATGTCTCAAAGCACCTCAAAGAGTATACTGTAAAGTAAATTGACTGTATATTTGTTGGCGAAACGCAACGGCCAGTTGCACACAGCAGTGTCCCACAAACAGTTGTGGATTGAGTGACCAAATTTCTTTTTTGGTATTATTATCAGGCGTGTGGAGTAAGGAAACTTGCCCAAGGGTTCACCCTGCCAGGAATTGAACCCAGATTTCTTGCTTGCAAGGTGAGTGGTCTAACCACTGAACTACAGGACTCCATAGATGAGGGAGGAGAGGCGGTGGAGAAGGATGGTGTGGTCAACTGTGTCGAACACGGCAGAGAGATCCAGGAGGACGAGGAGGCAGAGGGAGCCCTGGTCACAGATAGAGAGGATGTCGTTTGTGACTTTGACAAGCGCTGTCCCCGTGCTGTGGGCAAAAACCAGACTGCAGGGACTCGAGGGAGGAGTGGTGTGACCAAAGTTGACCTGCAACAATATGTTCCAGGACTTTGACAAGGAAGGGTAGGTTGGAAATGAGACAGTAGTGTGGGAGATTAGAGGAATTGAGAGTGGGTTTTTTGTGGAGGGGTGTGATAACAGCAGTTTTCAGGGGGAGTGGAACAGATCCCGAGGAGACACAATGGTTTTGACTGTCGGCCAGCAGGGGAGAGAGGAGGGGGAGTTGAGTGACTAGCAGCTGGGTGGGGAGGGGCGAGGCAGCAGGTGGTGAACTTCATGCTGGTGATTGTGGTTAAGAGGGAGGAGGGAGAAATGTGGGCAAAGGAGTGTAAGGAGGAAGGAGTGGCAGGAGCCGCGACAGAGAAGCTGGTGTGAATGCAGCCAAGCGGGTGTTTTCAATCTTTGAGGCGAAGTATACAGACTACAAAGTGTTAAATGTACAATACTGCCCTCTCCTTCACCATGTAAGTCATCTTGGATCCAGTTGAGGCCTAGAGTACCTGCTTATCTCCCCCACCCAAAGAGCAATAATGAGTTTATCCAAAATATAGCCTATTCAAGCCTCTCCTTACAAATGAAGATATCCAGTGTGAAAGGCTGCAGGATGGGTTGACGTCGCCTATTGTTTAGGACTAAAAAGTTGCAGGAACAAATCCAAAATATCCCTGAGAATACAGCCCACCAGTCGCCTCTGAACCTCCTAATGGAGGATGTAACAAGGTTACAAAATCTTTGGATTGACCTGAAGAAACTTTCCTCTTAAATTCTGAAGACTGGAAGGCCCAACTTTCCCTCTCGCCCTCTGCCATAAGAGCTATGTGAAGCACTATTCCACTCCCTCATATAATAGCATTGGTATTAGTCATTGGTATTAGTCAATGTTGGTTAGTTTCTTCATCCTTTGTCCAAGAATTAATCCCTTGTTCCAGAATTGCTTTGAAATGAAATGGTAGTTTGCAATATGTACACACCTCCAATGCGTATGGGACAGGCCAGAACAAATCCTACCTAGAAATGAAGCACCAGAGACAGAAGTCTTCCAGAATTCAATAAAACCTCTCAAATTTGAAGAATGAGCACTGGGTGTACTGCCATCGACAAATCACCAGAATGTTAAAACAAGCATTTGACTGTTACACTCTGGTTGCAATGGCATAATAAAGTAGGTGCTATACAACATAAATTTACATCTCGAGACAGATCTTGGGCCATGAAGCAGGCCAGGGCCTACTGAGCGAAGGGAGTGGCCAGATCGATATAGTTAGAGGTGGCGGACAAGATTACCAGGTAGGCCAGATAAATGAAAATAAGAACTACCCAATAATTAAAGTTACTACAAAGCTATCGAAGAATTGTGTAAAAAGTAACATTTGTCAAGAAAAAACAGAATCATAGAAATTTACAACACAGAAAGAGGCTATTCAACCTATTGAGTCCGCACCAGCACTCAGAGCTAGCTGTACTTTCAATCCCACTACAATACCCTAGCCCCACACTCGTTCAAGCATCTAACTTTCATATACCTACTTCCCTTTCGAAACCCACAACCATAACCACTTTACTTGGCAAGCCAATGTATATCCCCCAAACTCTGTGTGAATAAATGTTTGGGACTGGACTAAACACGCCAACCATGAGCACAAATTTACACTGAAACAATCTCCTACGATTCTTCATCCTGAACGAATGGAACACGAATGGTAAAATATCTGCATGGCTTCTCCGAGTAAAACAATAACCGCAGGTAGAGTCACGATGAATCTGTTGCGTTGCTAGAAGAGTCGTATAACTAAAAGTGTAAAAAGTTAAATAAAAACAAGAAGTTCTTGTCCAAATAATCTCTAAATTCAGAATTAAAGTCAGAAAGTTCTCTACATTTGAGTAAAATTAAAATCAGAAAGCTCAAAGTTTGTCACATGTCAGCACTTTGGAAACAATTTAAGTGAAGTCTCACTCGCTTAATTAGTAAATTGCCACAATAAACCAACATAATTTAAATGAATCTTTCATGATCCTCTCTATTAGAGTATCCAGAACAACATCACCAAAAGAAACGCAAGATACATTTTTTTAAGAGGAAGCTGAAATTATTTTATTTTACTTTGCTTTATTTACAGGCTGGTTGGTTGTTCATATCTTGAGACAAAAAAGGAAACTCAACTTTTAAGTATGGTTTTTCATACATTTCCAGGACAGACTTCATTTGGTTGAATCCTGAATAAAAGGTGATAAGATTCAATAGTTTAGCATAAAACAAAATGTTTCCTCACTCCTTTCAATATTTGTTAGGGATCATTTCTTGCGTAACAACTCAAATTGAAACAAAGAAAGATTCCCTGCTCTTTTCCAGGAATGACAGCCAACAATTAATGCTTCACGAAAGCAGAAGAACTTGAACAGCAATATGCAATTTTCTGGGTAGTTTTACACTAGAGATATTAGGCTGTTCCCATATTTCTGCTTATTTTGCACTAACCTCTTGTTTGTTATTTGCGTGATAGCCAGGAGAAGTCGATTCCGTACAAGTGGAAGATGACATGGAACCCAGTGATTCGCGGCGGTAGTGAGACAATCCATTACTATCAGACAACTCTAGCAATTGAGAAAAACATATTGCATCACAATAAAAGATTTTCTTGAAATCTTTGATCAAGTTTTGAAACACACAGGCAGAAAATATAGGAGTGGAACATATAGCCTTTTTTTAAATATTCATGCTGTTAATTACTCATGATGGCTGTTTATGGAACATTGCTGTGAGCAACTTGGCTGCCACATTTTTCTACAAATACATTGTCACTATACTTTACAGCAAATCCTGTGAAGCGCTTTGAGATGGCCTCCCGATGTGAAAAGGCGCTATATCAAATGTAAGGATTATTATTATTTAATTAAGAAACCATTGCTAACTACCTTTAGGTGAACACCCCTTTCCAGGTGGAGCACTAGCTTCCAGTTTGTTAAAGTTCTGGAACACATTGCAGCAATTCAACTAAGATCAAACTATTCCCTCCACTCCCTACTCGAGCTTCTCCAGTCCGGTTTCCGCCCTGCCCACAGCACAGACAATGCTCTTCAAAATCACAACTTATGTCGTCCCTCTACCTCCTTGTCCTTCTGGATCTCTCTGCTGCATTTGACACAGTCGATCACGCCATCCTCATCCACTGCTGCTCGTCCACCTGAATGAGTCCGCACTCACCTAGTTTGAATCCTACTTAGCCAACTGCCACCATTTTGATTGTGCATATCTTTTTTTCCTGCGGTGTATCGCAAGACTCCCTCCTTGACCCCCTTCTATTTTCTTATTTGCATGCTACCTCTCGGCGATGTCATCTGCAGACATGGGGTCAACTTGCACATGTATGCACCCAAATCTACTTCTCCTGTTCCAACTGCGACTCCAGGTCCACTGATGTTCTGTCAGCTTATTTGTCAGACATCAAGGCCTGATGAATGCAACTTGTGAATATCGGAAAAGACGGAATCCTTGGCTCTCATCAAAATCTTCTCTCCTGCGGCTCTGACCTCCTCAACTTCCCCGGCCTATCCGAAATACTTCCTGAACCAGTGTGTAACCTGAGTGTTAGCTTCAATCCCCAGCTGTACTTCCTACCCCACATCCAGTCCCTGATCAGTTCAGACTTCCTCCACCTCCATTACATTGCCCGTCTACAATGATACCTTACACCCAGCATAGCCGAAACCCTCATCCAAGCTTTTGCCACCTCTCGCTTCGACAATTTCAATGCCCTCTTCGCTGGTCTCCCCAGCTCCACTATCCACAAAATCCAACTAATTCATAACTCCGCTGCCGAACCCAGTCTCACCCACTCTAACTCCATACCTCCATCACGCCAGTCCTTGCCAGGCTCCACTGGCTCCCTATTACAAAATGATCGACTTCAAGATCAAACTTGTCTAAAAATCCCTTCATGCCCCGTCATCTCCCTAACTCTCTGATCTGCTTACTCCCCACTCCACCAGCTACCACCTCCGGTCTACTGGCTCCGGCCTCCTGCTCATTCCTCATCCCCTCTACTCTATCATCAGTAGTTGTGCTTTCAGCTATTATGATCTGAAACTTTGGAACTCTTTCCCTCAATCCCTTGCTCTCTCCTTCCCCATTTTCAGATCACGCCTGAAGACCTTCCTCTTCGACCGTGCATATACTCACCTCCCCCTAACGGCATCAGGCTCCACCTCTATTAAGCGCTGAGACGCTGCCCCAGGTGAAGGGTGCTACATAAATACAAATTATTGTTGTTTTTGCCCAGCTGCTTTTTTTCTTGATTTATCAAATATGATTTTTAGTTGTTAGGGGCGACTTCTAATTGAATTTTTTTCATTTGATGAAGATGAAAAAAATTGGTTTCTCACCAATATAAAAATAAGTTTTAAAAAATTCTCAGATAGAGGCCTGCCAACTTGCATTAATACAGCACCCTTCATATTAAGTATGTCTCAAAGCACTTTATAGAGACGTGCTGCACACCAAGCACAGAAGGTGGGAGAGAAAGGTCTGGTTGAAGAAGTAGTTACAATCCTTGAATTTGATATAGCATCTTCACATCAGGAGGACATCTCTAAGCTCTTCACAGGATTTACTGTCAAGTGTAGTGACAGTTATTTTGTTGGTAAACGCAGCAGCACAAACAGCCATGAAATGAATGACTAATTTTATCTGGGGGAGTTTTTCAAATTAATTTGCATACATTTCTTGCCCATCTGGTACTTGGACGATCTGAGCTAGTTGAGAGCTACCATCACATATCAAGTATAGGGCAACCAGTAAGAAAAGTGAAGGAGATTGTTTGTCCACCTCATCTGGCAGCCCCCAAAAAAGGCTGAATAAAGATCACCTGTGATTCTTAGCTCCCAATAATAATAATTCTTTAATTTGATAGAGCACCTTATCACATCGCTATGCTGTCTCAAAGCACTTCACAGAATATACTGTAAAGTGAATTGACAGTGTATTTTGTGGTCAAAATGTTCTCAGATGAAACAAAACGTCCATGGGGAATAGTGGTTTGTGGCATTGGAGGTTTGAGGGGAGGGAGAAATTTTGTCTGAAGAGAAAACCACCCAGAGTTAACTAGTGGATACATGGAGGTGAATAAATATTCTGGAGATTTAGCTTGATTGCCTTTAAGAGACTGGGGGCATCCTTGCAGAACTTTCCTCTCAGAAGAAAAAGTAGTGGAGTCCATGGAAGGAGAGGCGTGATGGGCCAACTAACTTTATTTCATTAAATGTTTCTTATGTTGTTAAATGTTGACTGTTTTTCAAAACTATGGCATTCGGGCATCAGCAGATGTGCCACAGAGATCTAGTTACAAATATCCTCTAATTTCCCTTCCAACAATCAGAGCTGAGCTTGTCAATGCATCTTCTAAAACTTCCTACCTGACATTGGGAAGAAACTATCAGATAATGAGTAACATTTTGGACCTTTCATTTTGCAACACACCAAACACTGAGTTTGAACAGCACAATTAAGCATTGTTAATGATCTATGTGTCACCGTATATATATATACAGATATATGGTACTTACCACCTTGTGAATCACTATTTTCTTTTCGCTTTTGAGGTCTTCCCAAGCTCCTTCGTGACCAGGAAAAAAATGCTCCCTTTTTCTTATTTCCATCTTCATCATCCAATTCAGTGAGGAGTAATCTGCCCGATTTGGATTTTGTACTGAACTGAGCAACAAACATAACGGATTTAAAATAAGTTTGAGTGTTGTATGGGGATGCCGTTTGTCTTCTCTGAGCCAATTCAATGCAGGAGAACTTTTGTTTATCTCGCATTCACACAATATACTCATTTTATCAACTTTTGAAAGGATCACTAGGATTCAAACCCACAAACCTTTTGATCCAGAGGTGCACAAAGTGGCTACTATTAAAAAAAAATTGCAATTGATAGGCCATTCAGCTCATCGTGACGATTGTTGTCATAATCTTATTTTCATAGTAGCCAGCAACTTGAGGTTTGGTCAGTTCCTTCATTAGACTATAACAAATTTTCAAAACATTACTCTGTTAACGATGTAAGAAATAATGCATTTCCTTCATAGTGAACGCTTGCTCATAAATCCAACACATTGAATCCACCTTGATTGGTATGCAGAGATGTAAGCAACTGCTGCTCAAGGTCTGCATTTCCAAACTCGTAGAACCATCACTCAATGGGGTAGGGATGTGTATCCAGGGTGTGCAAGCAGCATGGTGGCAATGCTCTCACGTATTTCATGCTGAGCTGTGCTGCTCATCAGGAAGCTCACAGTGAGTTTCTAGTATCCGCTACCAATCTAATGAGGCTGAAAACTATGCTGGGCAGATGTCAAATAACCAACTAGTGACTATTCTCTGGGGGGGAGAAGGTAAGCAGGATCTCCATGGAGCTGCAAAGTGACGTGCCCGCCAACAGAATGTAAGAATCAAGGCAACTCTTTATGGCAGTCATGTTAGTTCAGCTTCTGAGGCAGGCAGATCCTTAGTCCAGATCCAAGGTATTGCTGCTGACAGAGTAACCAACCTGGCTTGTTGGTAGGACTCGTTGGGGCAGACCAGTCACTGAGGACAGGGATTCTTCCCACTCAACTTATTTTAACCCTCCAGCCAAAGCCCTCATGGGTCAGGTAGTTCTAGCTGGACAAGCAGTGAGAAGCTTGCCAGACAGTGCTCTCAATACAAGCTATGTGTTATTAGCTGGTGAAATTCCATCAGTACCCCAACTCACACTCTGAGGGCCCCAAGGCTTGGCTCTTGCCAACCTGTGCCTAATGCTCTCTGGAATTAGGTGAGCAGGGAAGAATGCACATTCCAATCCAGACATAGGGGAATTTTTATGTGAGGGTAGCAACAAGGGGTTCTGTAAATGTCAAACACCTGGCGGACCAAAATAAATGAGTACATACCATCCTTTTAAATAGGATGCAAGACAGGAAAACATGTTTTCACTTGTTAAGATCATTATCACTTTGTACCATCATTCAGTGATAGATCATGAATCTGACTGCAATGGAATGTAACTGGTTCTCTCATGTCTATGCTGTAACTTGTCCTTAACTTGTTACTACTTGACTTACATTGAATACTGCTGAAAACTGTGATTGATTACTGCTCGCATCACTGACAGCTATTGTGGAATTAAGATATAACTTACGTTTCTGAGGTGAAGCAGAATTTGCAGTTATTTTTTAAAAATTAAGTTATTAAATACATACCTTTTTGGGGGTGGAGAGGTCTGAACTGGCACTGTGTTTTGAGGCAGGGCTACTTGGTACAAGACAAGGATCAGGCAAGGAACGACCCTCCACTTCTGCCAGCATGCATTCTTGATAAAGTGGTGATTTCAGAAAACGAGTATAGCTATCAAACTTCATCAGATTAAAAATCTGTTTTGGAGGAAAGAAATATCAGTTAAATTAGTCACTGCTGTTTATGGGTCATTACTTCATGCAAATGTATGTTCTTACAAATGACCGTCCTCCTTGGAGTGCTCTAACCACTGAGCTACAGGACTCCTACTACAAGGTACTGCAGATGTCTTGGAGAGGCAGGGATTCTTCCCACCCTTGTTAAATTTGCAAACAAAAGCCCTAACAGGTAGGGTAGTCCCAGCTAGACAAACAACTGGAAGCTTAACAGACTGTACTTTAACTCGCAACTTATTCACTTTTAGCTGGTTAAACTCCAACAACAACAACAACAACAAGATTCCATTTATAAAGCGCCTTTCACGTCAGGAGGACGTCCCAAGGCGCTGTACAGTTGGGTCATGACCCGAGCAGGGGGGAAATGGTCAGGGTGAGGGGAGGGAAGGGAGGGAGCGAGGAGGGGGGAAATGGTCAGGGTGAGGGGAGGGAAGGGAGGGAGCGAGGAGGGGGAAGAGAGTCGAGAGGGGAGCTGAAGGCTCGGTCAAAGAGAAAGGCTCGGTCAAAGAGAAACAGTAACCTAAGGCACACAAAACTCCATATCACCATCACACCAGGCTCCACAGACTCCCTATCACAGAACGGATGAATTTCAAGATCCTCTCACATATATACGAATCCCTTCACGCCTTGGCATCTCCCTACCTTTCTGATCTGTCTCCCCACTCCACTACCCGCTGCCTCCACTTGGCTGGTTCTTGCCTCCCGCTTGTCCCTTATCCCCTCTGCTCCAGCATCGGCGACCATGCTTTCAGCCATTACGGCCTGAAGCTTTGTAACTCTATCCCCCAATCCCTCCGCCTTGCCTCTCCCTTCCCCTCTTTTAGTTCATGACTGAAGGCCTTCCTCTTCGACCGTGCTTAAGGTCATTTTCTCCCTCCCCCGGCTCGAGACACTGCCCCACTTAAGGGACGCTGTATAAATGCAAGTTGTTATTATTGTTGCAGGAAACTAAAAACAGTCTTTACATTTGATATAGCATCTTATCACATCGTGGAGACATCTTAAAACACTTCATAGGATATACTGCAAAGTGGAGTGACTGTGTGTTTTGTGGATGAATGCAGCAGCCAATTTGCACACAGCAATGTCCTACAAACAGCCATGAAGTGAATGAACAATTTTATTTGGGAGGTTGTTGGGCCAGGGCCCTGGAAGAAACTCCCTTCTCTTTTCAAATCGTGCCATGGGATCTGTAACATCCAACTGAACAGGCAGGCGGGACCTCAAGTTTAATATCCCATCCGAAGGACAGTATCTCTGCCAATGCAGTGGTCCCCCAGCACTGCACTGGGCATCAGCTTAAGACTATGAGTTCAAAGTCCCGACATGTGGCTTGAATCTATAACCTTCTGACTTTGAGGGGAAAATGCTAACAACTGTACTGCAAAAACAATATATTAAGTGAACCCATGCTTAATAATGGGGTTGCTCTATAATTTTAAACCATGGTTCAGGAAAAATTTGGCTTATAATCAAATATAAATGATTTATTATAGAATCCTGTAAAAGACTCCACATATACTGTAGAGTTCTGTAGCTCAGTGGTTAAAGCACTCGTCTCGCAAGTAAGAGACCTGGGTTCTATTTCCGGTTAGGGCAAAGTTTCCTTACTCCACACGCCTATGTTTATCTAACATTAAGTAATTACCCGGTTGGTAGTCGATTGGCGGATCGCCTTTCCAGGGATGTTAATGCTAAAAAAAATAATTTAATCGCTCAGTCCATGCATGTTTGTGGGACACTGCTGTGCACAATTGGCTGCCACGTTTCGCCCACAAATATACAGTCAATTCACTTTACAGTATATTCTGTGAAGTGCTTTGAGATGTCTAGAAGACGTGAAAAACGCTACACAAATGCAACGATTATTATTATGATAGTGAGTAAATTAACTGTACATTGTATAAAACAAATGAAATCAAAGTACAACTTGTGTTTCCTATTCTTGCATCCTATATGTAGCACCTTGCATTATCTCTATTTCAATTATTTTCATTTGCCAGTTAATCAGTCCATGTGCATACCCTATCAAACTCCTTTTGATAATAATCCTTGCATTTGATATGGCGCTTTATCACGTCTTCGAGACGTCTCAAAAAGCTTCACAGAATATACTGTAAAGTGAATTGATTGTATATTTTGTGGGCGAAACTTTGTAGGACCTTTGCTGTTTTTTCTGATTCCACTGTCCCCCACAACTAGTTTTAACTGCAAATTTAATTATCTTACACTGGTCTGCAAATCCAGGACATTAATATACACGAACAACAGGAGAGGTCCCAGTACTGACACCAGAGGTACCCCTCTTAATACCTCCCCCACTTTGATCTAGCAACCTGAACAAAAACCCTCTGCTTCCTTCCCTTCAGCCGATACTGAACCATGTGATTTTTATTACCCAGTGACCACATTTTGTGACGGAATCTCTCATGTGATACTAACAATGTACAACTTTTCTTGAATTGTAATGCCTTTTGAAAGTAAGCAATGAGGAAAGAGTCTCTCCTAAAAAAAAATGAATAAAAGATTGTGTATTACTATACCTGAAGCTGTTGCTCTTTAAACATATTGGGGTGTGGCGCATTAATGATTTCATCAGCCAATTGTGCTTGACTGTCAATGTTGACCGGTGTGATTGCCTTATTAGATAAAAAATTATTGTAGATCTCCCGGGCTCTGTATAAAAGCTGTGAATGACAATACAATCATACTTGAGGAACAAATAGAAATTAAATGCATTTCACTCTGCTATGATTAAGTATCACCCATCTACATCAGAACAGTAACATATCAATATTTTATCTTTCTTATGAAAGAAAATTAGAAAACTCAAAACAAGGACTATCTGCTTCCTGTGTGTATATATAGCGTACAGCAGTCTATGCTTATGGTTCATATAGCAATGATGTATATGGGGTAAGACACCATTTGATTTTAGTTGAGAAAGCATTGTAAAACTTTGATAGTCTGAATGAGTGGCACCACTTGCAGTTAATTAAAATCAACATCCACTGTATGTGAGCATCAGTCAATATTCAGGTATGATGATGAATATTTCTATATGAATTTAACTAAACAAAGATCACTGGTTGACTGGTAGGCTGATCTTAAACTTGTAAAACCTAATGAAAATTAATAAAGTAATTGTGAACACACATACTTTAGATTGAATAGTCATGTGAGCAAGATGTTGTTCTGGTTAGATTTGAAATCAGATCAAATATTTTGAATAAAACTCAACATTTTTCAGTTGTAATTAATTGTCACTTTCAGAAGCCTCATTCTAAAACAATGAATTGAATTAGTAATTTCATTGAAACAGTATGATGTTGTGGCTTAGATTGCTGTGCTCTTTACAATATCAAAATGTTTCCAAACACAGCAAACTGCCAGAAAAATCTGTGAATGAACAGAATTCTGAGTGCATCAAAACTGTACTAAAACACGTTCCCTTTTACATTCCCTAGATTCCTAAAGTATACATTTCCTAAGGGTTAAAGTAGATTTGTGATATTCTATACAATTTATCAAAATAAGTGATATGCATATATGAATTATTGCACTGTTGATTTAAGTGGTTTTCTATTTTATATATTATCCAATCTAAATTAATTTGTACAAATACAAACCAATTATCTACAAATATAACATCCTACTTGATGAAATTCTTAAAACCAATATTGAAGACTATCTGAATGATGCAAATGATAACTTACAATCAAGTTGTATAATTTTATTATTTAATTTCCAAAACGAATCAATAGAATTGAAAATGCACCTCGTTAATCCAATAAGCGACAAAGGGGGTTTTGATGTTGTTTACCTGTATTACTGCAAAGGACAACAAACAAAAGAATAACACTGCAACTGACGATTTTCAGTGTTTTGGTGGTAAGAATGGAAAAACTTAAGGCTTAGTTTTTCTTCCATGTAGGTGTTACTTTTAAAAATCAACAGCTTAACTTTTATTACATTTCTCACCTGTTTCCTGTCATTTTGAGCGATTTGGCCAAAGTATTCACAAGACTGCCAGAACAAGATATTTTCTTCGCTGAATTCTTTCTTCAAGAACTCCTAAGAAAACAAGTTACCGGACTTGAACTAAATGAATATAACTAAAGAAAGATCACTGGTTAATTCATCTTAAACTTGTAAAAAAATTATTTTAGGAGGATTTAACACAGAAACAGGGTCATTTTAATTTACCTTCCGTACTGCTCAATTTTAGAAAAGTTATGACAATAATTTACGTGAATCATGTATAAATTTACATGAAAGCTAGATCTGAACTTTTAACCGATCTGTCACTGAACAAAGAAAATGAAAATCCTGAAATGTTTCAGTCCAAGTAATCAAATAAACAAAGATCAACATTCACCCAAACCCCCTATGAAAAGCTGGTTTGATCAATTTAGGTATTTTAGGTTTTTGACATGGTAAATTTCTTCCAGTATGCATTTACAGGCAAATGGTCCAATACACAGACATTTCCCAGCATGTGCAATTTTCAAGACATCCGCCAGTGCAACATAAATAGCAATTTGACTTTTACCAAAAGTAGCATTACTCTTCACTTTGCCAAATATTACAGTATTTGTGCATGAATAGCTACCTTTTATTTTTCTTCAATTTAGCAACCATTCCTTTCCTTGCCATTGTTGTTTTACTAATTCACCTTCCATTTTGTATTGAAACATTCCTCCAGCAGTGAGACATCACATATAAATCAACAGCTTTCATTACTCCAGATACAAAGAACTGAAATGCCTCTTATTCTGATGATGCATAATTCAAATAAAGAAATCCCATTTGAAGCTGATTCTGTCAATGTCACTACCTTTAAAACCAAGAGGTATTTCAATCCTCAGAAGAACTCAATATTCCTAGTGAAATTAGTTTTGTATCTGAACGGTATACTTACCGAGAAGAATCTTATACCAACTGAATCCTGCAGAAGTCGTTCAAAGGACACAGCCCAGCTGGCTACTCTCCGTTCAGTGTGTTTTTTGCAGCTCTGGACACTGGGAAGACTGGCATTGCTGTTGAGGCTGTTATCACTGTTGCAGTTGTTGAGATCTGCACCATTTAACTCTACCAAACAAAACAACAAAAGCTGTGTAACCAACAATATTTTTAATATTATCTTGCATGGTTATTAGGACCATGCATTAATGTGGAGGAGAAACAAGACTGTTTATAAACAACAAATTGTTTTCATTTCCTTATCAGTCATTTTCTCACGAAAAAATGGTCTACAGCTGTAGAGCGCTCTGTTGCATTTGTTTTTACAAAGGAGGTGAAAGGTCACCTAATCAACGGTATACATGGAGATCGATTCAAAGGAGAGAGAGAAGGAAGAAATTGGAACTTGGGAGTCACGAACCATGTTCCAGCTTCTAAAGAAGGAAGATTAAGACTACGATTTAAACAACACTAAACGTACAATAATACCTGGATACTTTTGTGTGATATCGAACTGGGAACCGTATAACAATACTTGGATACCCTTTGATGGACATATATTTGAATTAAAATGGACATTAAATTGGACATTGCTCCTCTATCTCTCCCACAGCATTTGGTTTGATCAACTTAAATCGTTGTGAACTGTAGTATATGTGGATAAGTAAACATAATTGGATGTATTCTGTTAATTATTTACAACCATTATTAATCTGAATTAATAAACCTTGATTAATTGTATAACATTTGTATCAGTCCTTACTTCTCTTTGACCGAGCCTTCAGCTCCCCTCTCGACTCTCTTCCCCCTCCTCGCTCCCTCCCTTCCCTCCCCTCACCCTGACCATTTCCCCCCTCCTCGCTCCCTCCCTTCCCTCCCCTCACCCTGACCATTTCCCCCCTCCTCGCTCCCTCCCTTCCCTCCCCTCACCCTGACCATTTCCCCCCTCCTCGCTCCCTCCCTTCCCTCCCCTCACCCTGACCATTTCCCCCCTCCTCGCTCCCTCCCTCCCTTCCCTCCCTCACCCTGACCATTTCCCCCCTCCTCGCTCCCTCCCTTCCCTCCCCTCACCCTGACCATTTCCCCCCTGCTCGGGTCATGACCCAACTGTGCAGCGCCTAAATGGAATCTTGTTGTTGTTGTTACTTCACCGCCGCTTCACAAAATTAAAATTAAACCTTACATTGGCGCCCGAACAGGGACTTGAGCCATTCTTTGATGAAATATTGACGGAGAGTTATGAAATCCCTGGGGTAAACACATCCATGTGTATTGTTGTTTGTGAAAAGTAAAAGCAAATTTGTACTGACAATCAGGATGTAACGGAACAGACCAAAACCAATTTGATACGTCAAGTACAGAAAATACTTTTGACTGAGGTGTAGTCCTCATGAGCACATCTGGTGCATACGCCACTGTCAGAGAACAACATTGTGTATTTTGATTTAATCTCCTATAATCTACTGTGAGTCTCCATGAACCATCTGGTTTTCTAACTGACCAAATGGGAGAATTATTAGAGTTTGTAATCCTTCTTAAAACTCCCTGTTTCAATAATGAAATTATAGTGGCTTGCACATGTGCATCAGCTTCCAAGGAAAGCAATATTGCTTCTGTGGATGTGGAGAGTCTTTTCCAATAACGTTAACCTGTCCTGTTAGCTTCTCACAATCGTGTTTACGATTTGTGAAAACAACATTGTTAGTACATTAGCAATGTTAAAAATGTCATGTGTTAACACTTTATTTAAATCATACCCCTCGGTTTTCTTTATTGCATAAACAGCTCCATGATCTGTTATTTTATTCCAAATATATGTGCCAGGTTTGGTACTTTTAACTTGCCATAGTAGTTTGTTTGCAAAATCAATTATTAAATGATATTTGTCCAACAGATATGCATCAATAATATTTAAATGGTCTGGAGTGTTCACCAAAATACATGGCAATTTATTTCTAAATATCCCATTTGAAGTGGAATTGATTCCACCCCATATTGACAATTGCCTGTAAATCCACCTAATTGGTGATAGCTTCAAGTTGCTAATCAAGTGACAGCACAGTTTAGCCAACCTACTGCTATCATTCAATATGTTGATGATTTATTGTTACACATGCCTGACATGGACTCATGAACAATTATTGATGGAGCTTTTACAATTGCTCTATAAATCAGGATTAAAAGTAAATCCTAAGAAAGCAAACAGTTGCTAAGGAGACTATCATTTTTAGCAATCCAAATTGGTAAAAATGGTCGCACTCCTGATAAATATAAATACAGATTATTGACTGCTTATTCTTTGCCAACTTCTGTCACAGCAGTGAGATCCTTTTTAGGACTGATAGGATTTTGCAGGGATTTTATTGAAGATTTTGCTACACTCAGTGCTCCCCTCTATGCTTTGTTACGAAAACATGCTGAATGGAATTGGACGCCAGCCTGTATTGAAGCAGTACAAAAATTAAAACAAGCTTTAGCGTCAACGCCTATTTTACAAGCTCCAGAAAGGGAAGCGCCTTTTTATTTAGAGGTAGCAGCCACAGATTTCTCTATTTCAACAGTTTTATTACAGCTCATGCATAATAAACTGTGTCCATATGCATATTAACTCCTGTAGAATTACATTTTTCAAAATGCGAAAAACATTTATTGATCAATTTTTGTCGATACAACATTTTGAATACATTGTTGGTTTATCACCTATGGTCTTATTAACCAATCACACCCCAACAGAATTACTGTTAGATGGTCGATTAAAAGTTGGATCAGTATCAAATGTCTGTCTGGCTCGATGGACTTTGTTGTTACAAGGATAAGACGTTATGATTAAACAATCCACTTCTCTGCCATTTTTGACTAACAATTTACTGCATGAGGGAGATACTCATTATTGTGATATAAGTGGCCCAACTTACCTGGAGGGTTCATTCAAGGCAATTGAAATTCTACAATTTACTACTGTCTACATCAATGGTTCTAGTTCAGTAGTAGTGGGGGTAAGGCAAACAGGATTTGGAATTTATGTTCCAAATATGGATTTAAAACTAGAAATGTCTTTACCTGATTACTGGTCAGCACAGGGGATAGATTTAGCTGCAATTGCATGTGTTTTACAAAACATTGACAAGTATCCATTACCAATTACAATCTATTCAGATTTTATGTATATATGTAATTCACTTACAGAGTATCTGCCAATATGGAAGGCGAGGGGGTTTGTATCAGCAGACAGGAAACCACTCCCTTCTGGAAAATTACTGCAAGCTATTATTAAAATGGCTTTACCATGAGTCTCGAATTGCAATTCAAAAAGTCAAAGCACACACAAAGATCATACCTCGTGCAAAAGGTAATAATGTAGCAGATGAATTGGCAAAGAAAGGGGCAATAAGTGACACAAAATGGGATCCAGCCATATTGTACCAATCTATGGAAAAAGTGGCCACAATAATCTCAAGAGAAAACCTGTAGATTTAAAATGTGCCCAAGACATTGATGGGGAAATAATTCAGACTATTAAAGCACTAAATTCTAAAGAAGCCGTGAATAATCAATATTCAAGGCATGTATCAACTTTAAGTGTAAAACATGGTTTATTGTTTTATAAAGATTTGTGAGTGGTTCCAATAATTTTTCAGAATGACTTTTTACAACAAGTACATGATGTGCCCACCTCTGGACATCAATCCAGCTCTACTACACTAAAGCGACTGCAACAAATAGTCTGGTGGATACCTTTTGATGGACATATTAATCCTGACTTAAAATTTAAAGAAAGCATTGTTGAAACATACAAGGATCTCACTTTACAGGAAAGGTGATGGAATGTGCAATGCATTTGCTAGGAATTACACAGAAATTCCATATAGCATACCATCCTCAATCATCAGGAATAGTGGAACGTATGAACCGAACTCTAAAACTGTTACACAAATTTATCACTGAAAAAGTAAAATGTTGGGATCAATTGTTACCATTAGTGCTCATGGCAATTAGATCAACACCTTCTCGGTTAACATTTTCACCATATGAGTCAATGACAGAGATTAAAGCATACACCTGAACATTTATGGTTTACTGATATGGCAGATCCTAAAATTCAGGCTGTGACACGTGAACAATATGTAAAACAATTGTACTTACATTTCAAAGAAATACATTTGTTTTCTGCTTCAAACATTATCCGTTCTGAACAGACAAATGCTATGTACTTTGATCAAAAAGCAAAACTGGTAAAGCGGGAAATTGGCCAAAGGTTTACAGTAAAAAACTATGATCTAAAAGGACCATTCTACCCTCGATATGCCGAACCATACCATATTTGTGGATAAAGCAAGTACTTCAGTGTACAGGGTAGCCAATACTACCAAGAGAAATGCATGTCCAAAGTGCTGTAATTGATCAAGATTGTATAAATGCAGTGATGATAAACCTGATTGGAACCCTCCTTTGCAGGATATAAAACCCAAGTGTGTGTTAAATGATTATCCAAAAAGAAGTGAATATCTTCACATTTGGGATGATGTTATTTTGCCTTTTGAGGAAGATCAAATCAGGAAAAGAATTGAAGAGTCAATGCATAGACCATTGAGATCTGTTAATTCCTTAGAAGACGTAAGTATAGAAGTCGCAACGACATCAACAGCAGTAGATCAAGAATGAATAACATTTTGGTTAAGAAATAGAATAAGGGAAAAAACTAAACAACAGAAGGCATGTTTGGGATGTGATCAACATCCCAGTAAGAGAAAGAAAAAGACACAAGGATGCATAGGTTCATTATAAAATCAATAAATTGTAGGAGATTCTTGAATTCACCCCAAATAAAACAGGGAGGATAAATTAACTTTTCTTTTTATATTACAGAAGACAGGTTTGAGATCAAATGCAGTGAAAGAGATGGAGGAGAATACTGCCAATTTTACATTAATTACAGTAATAATACTGGGTTTACGTTTGGAACCTTAACCCTGACTGTAAGATTCTGTAATTAATGTGTTAAATAATATCTCAAATATATTAGCGATGTTTATATATTTGAGACACATCATCAAGCTCATTGAGGGGAGCTGGTTGTGGCTAGCTTTCTCAAGGAGGAGAAACAAAAGACTATTTATAAACAACAAACT